TCTACACAGCTGCAAGCCGATGCTATCAGGCCAGGAAAGTTGGGGCACGGCCCGCAATTCTGTCGAGATTTGACGAGAAGTCCTCAATGACAGTGGGGAGTCGGAGAGAAGCGGTGACATAGAAGAAGACGAGGCCTTGGAGCAAGAGGAAGGACAGATGAAAGAAGAGATGAAAAGCAATGCTGAGAAGTAAATGAAAACTTGGATTAGAAATTGACAATTTTAGCTTAAACAATTCAACTTCTACTTCCGTTTGTTTGATTCCTGTCAAACTAGAAATTTGTTGTTTTTACTGCATTTGTTTATTTTCAAAAAATTTTGGTTATTAGCACTTACTTATAAAAGTTTATATAGAAATACAACAAATAGTTAATATTGATTGGAAGTTTTTAATAACCATAGACAAGTCATTTTTTGCGGTCTGGTGTTGTCTGAGTACGCTCACTCGAAAAGGTGGGTACCTCAGTGCCTTTCCTAGCCATGAAATCTCTAACTTTTGAGTTTTAAGGGCAACGACATGTCAAAATATTTATACGTTGTGAGTAATTTGAGGTCATAGTCAACAAGTGAGTGGCAGTGCCACGTGCCAAATCTTTTTAAATCAAAAGCAAGGAGTAGATTTGGGGGAAGTTGAGTTAAAACAAATAACTTTGCATTTATCAGAATTAAATGTCATTTCGTTTTCAAGTGTCCAACTGATAAATAGATCAATGTCTATTTGAACTAAGGAAAAGTCATATTTTGAATAGAGTTTGCTGTCATCAGCAAACAGAAAGCAATTAGAGGTTTTCAAGACAGCTGGCATGTCATTAATGAAGAGTATAAATAGCAAAGGGCCGAGTACACTTCCTTGCGGAACACCACTTGTTACATTGCCTTTTGGAGATGCTTCATTGTTAATTAAGACAATTTGCGTGCGGTTTGTGAGATAGGAAGCAAAAAGTTCAAGAAAGCTAATGTCAAAGCCTAAATTACCAAGTTTCGAAACAAGTATATGATGAGGAACTTGATCAAAAGCCTTGCGAAAATCGAAGTACACAGAAAGACATTCGTTTTTCGCCTCGACGTCGTTATAAATCTGATCTACGTATTCAAGAAGCTGAGTAACAGTCGATCGCTTGGTCATAAAACCATGTTGAGCAGGTCTAACATTAGCCCGAATTTTAGGATAAATGAAATCGAAGATCATTCTCTCCAGAATAATCGATAATTGAGGCAATATGCTAATCGGGCGATAATTTTCAACATTTTCGAGATTACTAGATTTAAGAATTGGCCACGTTTTATTTTCCAAAACCTTGACAAAGAGCTGCACGACTAGAGGAGATATTAATTCACTGCAGCAGTTAAGAATAAAGGTTGGGAGGCGTTCGTTGGTAATACAAGAAGTTTTAGCAAATTCGAGAGCTTTCTCGACCTTTTTAAGGTTGACATGGAGATCGGATGGAAAAATGGTGGGTTTTTCGGGTTGTAGGATTTGAATTTCGTGCTTTTCTAGAAACACTGAACAGAAGTAATCGTTCAAAAGAATGGCTATTTCAATAGAAGTGGATGCTTTTCTATTCATCCAGTGCATTTGGTTTGGTAGTTTCCTTTTGGTAAAAGAGCGAAGGTATTTAAAGCAATCACGGGTAGAATTTGGTCTTAAAGATTCAAGGAGACAAGTTTTATCCAACTCGATTGAATTGTTAAGGTCTTGTTGGATCGAAGCTAAATGATTTGTGTTGGCTGTCCGTTTAGATATGGAATGGTGCTTATTCAGTAAATGAACTGTATGCGACGAATAATAATAGGGAAGTTGCTGGCGTCTTTTAGTTTTATGTGCGCATGATAAAAGAATTGCATGATTGATCTGAGCGTACCAGCTATCTACATAATCATTAGTGGTGGATATGGAATAACATGATTTTTGTTCCACAATGAGTTTGGTAAAGCAAGGGCTGATGTTACTATTGAAGATAGAATGAGAGAAAGATGATTTAGATAGAGAGGATTTCATAAAATTCCCAATCACAGTAGGCGCTGCTTCAGGAATGGTAAAAAAAGCAAATAAAGGAAAATGGTCTGAGTAAAACATTTCATTTACAAATGCAGTGAACAATTCTGTGTGCGAAGTTAAAATGATATCAAGAGTGTTGCCTGAGCGATGAGTGGGTTCATATATAAGGGGCATTAAGCTATGATCCTCAATAACCTCTAGGAACAGTTTTGAGTAATCACAGCCTCCATCAGAAGATGCCCAACAGATATCAGGCAGATTTAGGTCACCTAAGATTGTGTACGAACTAGAACCATTAATCAATTTGGAGTTAAAATAACGTATTGAATCAGTAAGCATTTTGGCAGGTATCCGAAACTGCGACGAAGCGGGGGGGTTGTAAATAAGGAGGAAAATTGATTAACTGCACCCGAATATATTGAAAGTCCGATGCAGTAATCTGCATCGTATGATAGAATTGAATAATTTAAAGCAAAACTATTTTTTGTAGCAATGAGAACACCTCCGTGTTCTCCAGAAGTGCGGTCTTTTCGAGCAATAACCGAATAGGGAGAATTCATAGGAAAAATTTCGGGATCAGTAACTTCTGGTTTAAGCCATGTTTCAGTAATGAATACGATATCAGGAGAATGTAAAGAAAGAAAATTGATTAACTTCAGACGCTGATTTAGGCTCAAGAGACTTTGTGCGTTGATAAGGCATAATTTTGATTGTAGTCAGTCAAGATTGATCTTGATACCATTTCGTTCGAGGGTCAGACCACGAATTTTTAGCTCATCGCGTGGAACTCTTCCATTGTTAATCATGTCGTACCGTTTCTTGATGATTTTACGTTTCAGAATCTGTTCTTCTTGGTTTAGGGACTTCGATATGAAAATCTTTTCTTTGAAGTTCTTCAGTTTGTAAGATTTTGCTAGGCATTTTCTAGCATTCCATTCGGATGACAGACGAACAAGTAAAGGACGCGGTCTTCGTTGTTGGGGATTAGCTTTACCAAGTCTATACATTTGGCAGATACTGAGATTTTCTTCGCCTATATAATCAAAAATTTCGGCCACTTTGGCTTCTTCGGCCTCTATATTGGATGTAAACTGACCGTTGTCTTCGCAGAATCCGTCGACGATTATCTCGTTTTCACATGTGTTGGCCCGGTGACTGTTATTAATACGACTATTAACCGGTACATTCGATGATGTTGTCTTGGTTGGATCAACATTTTCAACAGTTTCTTTTATGCTTTTTGTTATATCGGTTAAGCTTTCTTGTCTTTGAATAAACAGTTCAAACTTAGCTTGAGATGTGAAGATGTTCCCCTCAAGGCAGCCAGAGCACAGCCAGAAGCATCCTCGAATTTTGCCCATTGTAGCTACATCATCAGGAGACAATCCAACACATTGCCCATGGAACCACGCGCTGCACTTTTCACATCCTATAGCAGTTGAATCGTTGTCCTTCACTGGTTTGTTGCATGGTCCACATCTAGTAGCTTTTGCTTGAGACATATCAAACCGGAAACTATTTAAAAAGTTTATCACAACAATTAGGCAGGGTTCGGTCTGACACTGCTGCTGACTTCGTTGACGGCCTGTGTGTGTAGGGCTTTTTGTAGTTTTTTGGCTTCTTTTTCTTCAATTCTTCGGTTTGGTCGCTTGTTTTTTTTATATTTGTAGAAAAGTTCAGGTTTCATCTGAGGTCGGTGTGGGAGAGGTCTTGTGGTCAGAGAGTGACAGGGATGCCTCGGGTTGTAGCAAGTGATGGCGTACTGTTTGGCGAGCATGTGGGTGTGTTCTTTAATGGGCAGAATGTGTGCTTCATTGTGCAGGTCGTCTATGTTCGTCATGTTGTAGCAACCTGTTGTGATACGTTAAGCTTTTTCTGTGCCAGTTGTAGTCGTTTCCAGTGACACTCTATGATGATGAGAGCCCAGGTGGAACAGCAGTAGTTAATGACAGATCTACTGGTAACTTTGTACAGAGTCATGAGGGTTTCGCGGTCACTGCACCATACTGTACCTGCTAGGGCTTTAAGTAACGCATTAATCTTCTGAGCTTTGGCTGCGATGTCTCTTGTATGCGGTCAGAAACAGAGCATCGTGTCCAGGGTAACTTCAAGTAGCTAAGGCGTCTTCGCGAGTTTCAGAATGTTGCCTCGCACGAGAACCTGAGGGTACTTGTTTGCCTGAGCAGACTGAGGAGTGAAGAGGGTGACTGTCGCCTTGTCTTCAGAGATGGTGAGGTTCAGTGACTGGAAATAGTTGCTGACTGTCTCAATGTATCTGTTGAGTCTGTCAACGAGGTCACAGGGTCAGGACCCGACGTGTAAATGGTCACGTCATCAGCGTAGATGATGAACTTGATACCTTCTGGAGGCACTGGGAAGTCGGCCTTATAAAGGTTGAATAAGTTAGGCGAGAGGACACCGCCTTGGACAATACCAGCGTGAAATTTCCGAGGCTTTGAGCACTTCCCTCTGAAATAAACTTTTGCCTCTCTGTCGTGCAAGTAGTTAATCAGCCAGCGTTTGACACTGTTCGGAGTTCGATTGAACAGAGTGCGCTCGGCAAGGCAGCTGTGATCTACCGTATCGAAAGCAGCGGTGAAATCGAGAGCAACCAGGATGGTCCTGTCAGCTGGCTTCTTTTGGTTGTGAACTTATACAATGATACTCGGTTACTATGAGACTATGAAAAAAAAACGAAAAGAGTGAGACTCTCAGTTAGAAGTAGTTGATTACAGTTAAGGCATCTTTAGCCGTATCTTGTGTTACCTTGATTTTTTTCAAGAGTCTATTCCTTTTGACTTGAAAATTATCTTGTTTGCTACAAAAAAGAGTTTCAAAACAGTACTTTTTATAGAACAATAACAGCTAAGTTATGAAGCGTCGATTATGACGTGTATCTCATGATTGCGTCATAGGTTCCACGTTGCTGTTGTTTTATGTTTGCCTTTTTAAATACTAGTTTTAAAAGTCTGTCCACCTTAGTCTTAATATTGTTCACATCAGTTTCAGTTTCTCATGTTTTTGTGGAACTGGTTTTCGGGAACCCTTCAGTGGTTAGGTTAGTAATTTCCTTTCTGACTTATAAAAGAGACAATAATCAGTTTTTTATTCTTACCGTTTGAAAAAGCTCAAGTGTTAATTGTTTTCTTTGCTGCAGGTCTTTGGAAAAAGAACGGAAAACTTGTGTTTCTTGGCCTCGATAATGCTGGCAAGACGACACTGTTACATCTCCTGAAAGATGACCGAATGGCACAGCACAATCCAACTTGGCATCCCACATCCGAGAATTTGTCCTTGGGTGGAATATCCTTCACAACCTTCGACTTGGGTGGCCATGAACAGGCACGCCGAGTCTGGAAGACGTACTTTCCAGCGGTCGATGCTGTCGTTTTTATTGTCGATGCGTCCGATCGAAGCAGATTCAACGAGGCCAAGCAAGAGCTCATCGTTAGTAATCATTCATCTAAAAATCGAAAAAATGTTTCATCTGAAATTTCTCGATAGAAGGATGATTAAGGATGATAAATATTGGAAAGTTCTCGATAAAAGTATGATTAAGAATAATCCTGATCCCCCAAAAGGAAAAGAATGATTATTATTTTTTTTAAAAATAAAGAGATTGTGTTATTTAGAGCCTTATGCAAGATGAAACTATATCAGAAGCGCCTATTTTGATCTTGGGTAATAAAATTGACAAAGACGGCGCCGCTGGTGAAGATGAACTCAGACACTTCTTTGGAATGCAAGGACAGACTACTGGAAAGGTAGTTATAATCCAATCTTTTCCCAAAGTCGAGCAATTTCACGCGGTTAAAGTGCCAGTTAAACCTGGTGTATTGTGTTAAAAATATTGGAAAGACACTCATTTATCTTGTCCTCAGACTTCGTTGTTTTTTTCAGGAATTTTTTTTATTTATTCCCTTTGCTTTCTTTGTTTCATTTTTTTAAGAGTCGTTGAACGCAGTGAAGATTTTTATATTGGTTGAGATGATTTTCTTCAAAGTTTGTTCATGCTCAAATTTGATTTTTCGCGGTTCGATATTTTTAGTTCAGATCAGTTTCTTCTTAAAAAAGGATGGCAAACTCCAATTTTGAACAGCAATGTGTAAAGGTCGCGAAAAATGTGATCGACTTCTTGTTTCGAAAGTGGATTTTAATTTTCAGGTTTCCCAGCGAAATGAAAATTTTACTTATTGATCCTGTTTTCTCAAACTGAGTTTATTTTATCAAATAAGTGTCATTCGTAATTCTTTGAAAGTAAGCCATATATTTTTTTACTTTGGAATTCGAAAGTTTTTTTTTTAAAAAAACAAGCAATTTTTTTGTTTTCTTGTTCATTGAGTTTTCTCCAACCCTCTGTTGACAGAGTTATTTTTCCACCGTTTTATCGCTTGATTGTGCAAAATGCTGCTTCGCATATGTGAGAAGTTTTTTAGAAGGTCTTGCATTTTGATATATTTTTCTTTCAAACTATTTTTCCTACTTAGTGGCTCTCGTCTCGTTTTCTTTCAGCTTGCTAGCTTTTTTTCGGATTCTCAAGTCAATTATGAATTTTCTAGCTATCGTTCAGCTATGCTTTGTTTGATAAAACTAAATAGCCAAAGAACAGAAAATAAAACGCGAGACCAGAGTTTTCTTTGCTCGATCATTGCTTTTATTTGAAATGTAGGGAAACATCCCGAGGACATCGCTGGCTTCTGGACAGAGACCAATTGAGCTGTTCATGTGCTCCATTCTGAGAAAGCAAGGCTACGGGGAGGGATTCAGATGGGTGGCCCAGTACATTTGAGGGAGAGGAAAGAACCACGAGTTAGGAAAACAAGGATAGGACGACTAAGGCAGATGAAATCAGAAAAAAGACTTGTACCAAGCATGGCGTAGTTCCCATGCGAGAATTCATTTACTATTGTTTAGGGTTGCAACGTAAATAGGCAATTACGCTCTTCTTGTAAATTAATTAATTGTAATTATTTCCTGTAGTTGCATTGGGACGATCCATGTTTTAACTTACGCGTTGTTATCTACGACTATATATATTACTATATGGTTTAATCATAAATTGAGACCTTAAGATGCTTAATCTGTTTTCATGCCGGCGTAGAATTTGCTTCTGAGAATTACTAAGGCCTAGTAAAAAAAGACCCATGAGTTTTCCAAAATCAAACGTTCATGGCTTGCCTTCCCAAAAATTATCTGGCGCTTGTTTCGAAAAATGTAGAAAGAAATGTTTCGAAAAATTCGCTTGCTTTTAAGTTTGAAAAGCCCGGAAAATCAATTCGGTCGTACTTAAAAATAGTCGCAGTAAATTATCATTTTTTGTGCCAAACCCCCTTTGCTTGCGATATTTTGTCATGCCCCCGCCCAGCTTTAACTTACATATGACCTTAAGTTTTTCTTTGGGCTTCAGCTTATCTGTTATTGATAATTTCAGATTAGAAAAGATGTCCTATAGAGACCTTCGAAACTTAACAGAAATGATGAGGGCTCTCAACTTTCCCAAGCAAATATCTCTCGAGAGTTTTCGCCAGCCGAATTTCCCACTAATGGCTGAAATGCTTCGGTGGCTGGTGCTTCGCTACGATCAAAATGCAGCAATTATGGACTCAATTCAGAAAGAAGCTGACAGAATTCTGTTTATGAAATCAATTGTACAGTACTTGGCTGTAAAAGCACATCTGAAACTGAATATAAAGAGATTATATCAGGCAGACAGACATGCAGTCAAGGAACTCATTAAGGTATAAACATCATCTACATCAATTTTTTCTTGTTCTTAACGCCAAAACAAAAATATATAAATATTTAACTACGTGATAATCCGTTCCGAAATTAAGGTAGAGACCTGTTGTGATGTATGTTTAAAAAAAATTTTAGTTTAAAGAGAAAATAAGTTTTTTCGCTCACTATGATCCTTACAAAAAGAGAAAAAAATAAAGTCTGTGTTTTTAGAATGACAGAATGAATTGCCTTAGTTTTAGTCATTTTCTCTTTGTACTTGTGTATCTTTCAGCTCTATTCGTTCAAGACGTCATATAAGAGCGCAAGATTACTTCTAGTTACTTAATTTGTACTCGTTTGAACAAACTTGCTTCTATATTTGTGAATATACTTTCATCTTGACGTGGCAAAAATGACTACGCGGTCTCAACTTTTCGAGAAATTTGACGTGGAATTGTACTACGTCTTTATTACTAGCAGTTTATACTGTATGGTCAATGGTTTAACTAAGTTTTCCATGCTCGAAGAAATCGATGCGGAGATTTTTCAAAAGATGTGGGGTAAAAAGGTAATCTCAGTTTTTGTTTTAACAGGTAGCCTCCCTGCTTTACGATGCAATAAATATCAGCAAATCTGCTGCAGCGCAGGCCAAAACCGACTCAGAACTTGGCTTAGACGAATACAAAAAGGCCGAATTCAGTGGTAAACAGACGGAAATCAGAAAGATACGAGAACTGAGTTCTCTCATAACAGAAAAAGGCGCTATGCTTTATGATCTATTGGAGAAAGAGATTGAGCTTAAAAGGTTGAGACAAGATGCGATTAATAAGCCCCCTGATATCGATGGAATTGGGCGGGATATTCAGAAAGCAATTCAATCGATTGATAACGAGATTAACAAGACAGTGAAGTTACTTGACAATGTGGCCACTGATGAAGCTAATCTGGAGTCCAAGACAGCCAATAGACACGAGGAATTAGAGAGGTATGTATAAACACTTTCAAAGCACTGGCCACCTTAAACCGAAGTTTTGTCATTATAAACTAATTTTCAAAACTATTCGCTCTTCTCAAGTTTTGCGAGTTGTCGCGGTGCAGTGAAAAAGGTTTAGCGAAGAGTACCCAGCATTTCGGTGGGACGAATTTCAGTTTTATTGAATTGTTCCCGATTAAACTCCCGATTCTAATAACGCTCTTTTTGCTTGTTTCTAGTGGATGAGTTCTTGTCTGAGTTTTGCATAAGCCAATGTTAGCCTTGAACTCAGAGATAAAAATCGTTTCTCAAAACACACTTTATTTAAATGTATCTGAACAGAGCATACCGTTTTAGTTATGATAAGCTCCCTTTCGCCTGCGAGCTTTGATGTAGTGTTCTGTTTCTCATTTAGGTTGCAGAAGCGCCTGAAGAGTCTGGGGTCTGTGCGGCCTGCATTCATGGACGAGTATGAAGCAGAGGAGAAGAAACTGGAGAAGTTATATACTGAGTACATCATCAGGTACTTTTACCATATGTCAGAACGATCCATTCTTCAATAATACGTTTTTAAAGGCGTTGTTAAATGGCAGTTTTCAAGTTGTTGTCCTTCAGCAGCTCTTGAACTTCTAAGTTCGAAATGTTTTCGGACTTCTGAGCTTTTGTACGATATACACTAAAATTGGATCAACAGCACAATCTCCCTCCCCCTAAGTGAATTACCGTAGAATGCCCCACAAGCATGAATTATTTTTGATTATTAATTTTGTATGCAATTTATACAAACGCGCTTATATTTTGAAGTTATTCAATCAATTCGTATTTTGATGGGCTGCATAACAGTTAAATCGACGTTTTAATTATAATCAATTGATAAATCTTGAATGTAGGGGATGTCATATTATTCTCAACAAAGTTACCGTGTGAAAAATTCATATTTTCTCTCCCCCCCCCCTCCCCCAAACGATTGGGGAATATCGCACGGTTGGTCCCTAAAATTCTCTGAATAATCTACGTTGGTAGCAGTAGCGAGGCAATTAACGTTCTCCCGGGTCACTTTAATGTAGTTAATTTGCTGATGCAGGTTCCGGAACCTGACGTACCTGGAGAGTCAGCTGGAGGAGTTCCACCAGGCGTCTCAGAGGGACCTGGATGCATTCGACAGCAGAGTGGAGAGTGCGAAGAGACAGTCGGTGTTCAATGCCATGAACAATGCAGACCATGCAATGGGTATAGGAGGGGGCAGAGACATGGACGACATTAATGACGATGACCTCAACGACTCAGAGGACGAGGTGAGAAGTGATTGTATTGTTTTTGAAGTCAGCTTTCATTGAAGCAATGCCGAAAGTCTTGAGAGAATAAGAATTTGAATGCAAATAAGTGATATGAATACAGATGAAGTATATATAATGGATCCGACCACCCACTATTATTAAGAAAAAACTATGACATTGGGTGTTTTTTTCTTTATGATTTTAACTACCTCAAGGTAAGCTCATAGAAGGTCAATTTTGGTATCATGTTAAAGCTCTTTCTGCCTTGGTCGCGCTTCTAAAAAAAACGATACAATTAAAAAGAAAAATTGATCTGAATATTTTCTCACAAGAAAAATTGATCTGAATATTTTCTCACAAGAAAAATTGATCTGAATCTTTGCTCCGACTTTCGAAGAAAACGGAATATTTATGCTTGGTATGTTTTTTAGTCAACTTTCGGCGATCGAAATTATCGTTTTTAACAAAATTTTTTTATGCCCCATTGGAGATATCTACTCCCTGAAATCAAATTTAAAACGATTTTTTACCTCCGATATTTTTGACCAAAGTTTTGAAAATTGCTAATTTGGCCCATGCTCTGGACTAATTTATGTGCGATTTGAAAATTTTACCCGAATCTTAAATCGGTCGTACGACTCAATTTTTTTACACATGATCTTGGATATTGTCCAAAATTTGTAGTTTTCTTACATTATCGAAATTTAGTGAGCGTTATTGCTTACTACTATTCTTTTGTTCTAACAAATATTGGTGGATTTTTTGGGGCACTTTTACGGCTTTTTGTTAGCATGTGCTTTGACATTTGAATAGTAAAAAGTTAACACAGTTGATGCTTTTTCAATTCATCACATGAACCGAAAAAAGCTATTTGTTTCAAACAACAACAATGATCAAAACTCGGTTTCAGAAGTTTTCTCACCAACATATCTCGCAGTTTTTTGAAATGCTTAATTTATACATAATGTGGCTCTATGCTTTCCAGTTAATTACCTGCAAAATTAGTGTGGATGTTTTCAGTTTGTTTTATACCAAACTTACTTGCAAAATTGTGCCTATTTGTATTTGGTGCCACTTTTTGATGCATGGCAGTGGCAATTTGTTAGCATATGTAGCTGCTTAATTTGTGACTGGCGTTTGCCGGTTGTTAAGCGTTCGTGGCCGTGAGGACAGTTCAGGAGACTCCAGTTCTCGGGGGCGAAGGTTCGAAGCCCATACCTAGCAAAGTTTTCTAATTCAAGCCTTATTTCTATCTTTTCTTTTTTCACTTTATAATTTTCTATCTTTTTTCGCTTTGCGTCTGTGTTAAAATTTTTCACAGAAATTATTCGATATGGGTTAAGGGGTAGTCGGAACATTCAGGGCTTTGCCCTGATATACAAGCAGTCTTGCTTCGCTTTCTGAGACTAAATTAGAGAATATGGGCTGGCCTCCAAATCGCATTCCTGATAGTTAAAAAGGTTTTTTGCTGCAGCTTCCACTCTTTCTATTAATAGTGTACCTAATTCAAACACCCTTTTCAGAAAAAAATAAAAGAAAAATTGGATAGAAAAAATTCAATCGTTTTAGCTTATTTTTGAATTCTTCTAAATCAGTGTTGTCGGAACAGTCTGCAGGTAGTTTGAAGAACGCTTTTTAAATCAACAAACTTCTGCTGTTTGAGATTTACCTAAATATGGGAATTTTTGATTCAAAAGTTTTAAATTAGGCATGGAAATGTATTTATCATAAATGAATTGTTTAAGGTCGAAGACGGTTTCCAAAAGCGCAACGACCGTCCAGGTGGGGCCAGTGCTTTGAAAAAGGGTCCATTGGGTGCAAAAGGTGGCAATAAAATGTATGGAGACGAAGACGATGATTCGGATGAAGACGAAGATGACTCAGAAAACGAAGACGATGATGACGACGAAGATGAAGATCTGAACATTGGCGCCGATGGATCGGAAGATGAAGACGATGAAGATGATGATGATGAGGATGACGACAATTTTGACCTGGACAGACAAAGTCGCCCGAGAGCGCGAGGAGGAAAAAAAGGAAAAGGTCAACGAGATTCGAAAGGAAGATTCGGAGCGTCCGAGTCGTTAGGACAAGATGAAGATGATGACGATAATTTCTAGAAAAAAAAATCAAATTTGCAGTTCTAATTTCCTTTAAACAAGTGGCTCAGTCTTTTCTGGAATGGGAAGCGGGAGCAACGTTTTAAAGTACTGTGTTCATAATTGTAAATATGTAAATTCAAGCATATGTTTGTATGTAGAAAGAAAATTGACATGTGTATAAAGTTTGCCGCTTTTAGACAATTAGAAGCAGATATAATTAGAAACTGCCTTACCATCGCAAAAAAAAACTTCTTTTCCCGAAAAAAAAAGAAAGTTAGTCAAAATGCTAGTGCAAGAGTTTTTGCAATCAGCAAATATTATCAAAATTGAAGCATATACTTTTTCCGTTAGCGATGTTACACAATGATTGAAGCATAAGACTCACAGAAGCTGCTGTTATAATGTAGGTATCTTTTCCCTACGAATTCGCTAAGTTTTTTGTTCATGTTTGGGTTCATTTTTAGTATATCTTAATAATGCTCAAATGCTATTGACGCGTATTCTCTGCTGCTTGGTATTTACTTTATTTAGGTAACACAGCAATTCGGATAAGATAGTTTAGCGCGAAAGAAAGTAACTCGAAATATGGAGGGCCATGATTTGGATCCTTAAGTCGATTTTTTCTTTTCTGACGTACTTGAGTGTTTAATTGAAATTTTAAAGCTGCCCATTTGCTTGTATTTGCGAAGTGCAGTTTTGCCTCTGTGTCCGATAACTGATTTTGTAGCTAAATCAAGTTCAAGCTACTAATTTGCATATTTGTGCAACGGTAACGTCCATGCTTGGGATGAGAATGGTCGTTCGGGAGCGATTAAGAACTGTTTTTTCTTTGCAAGCAAGAAAGTTCCCGCTCTAGTATATCGTCGGTGGGATAGATTTATGTCGTCTCATTTACCGTAGGGTTATGGTAATGCAAGGAAGCAAATTTTCCCAGCCTAAGTTGCAAATGAAAGTGCTCATTTGGTGGCTTTCGTATATTTTCAATCATAAGCAAATTAATATCATGTTTTGCTGCTTTATTAGTGGCTAGTGTAGGCATACATCCGAGTGATGGTATCGCAGATGCGAGGACTCCTAAGCTACAAGTCAAAGGTTCAAATCTAAAACATTGAAATAGTTTTATTTTTTATTTGGTGGCACTTTTGCGGTTGTCTAGCTGGTGTGTGCGAATCGCTGCTTCACCTCTATGCAAATTTCCTCAATCCACGAATATAGTAGAACCTTTTTAGTGGCACTTAGTACAGTTGTAAGGCGTTTACTTTGAGCGTCAGCTTGTGTAATTGATCCTCTGTCATTGCAATGATAGTGTGAGGATGAGCTCTCACATGACCTCTAACTTCAGGTCTACCACAGCCTGACCGATTTCGGCTGCAATAGTAGTAAAACTATTTCTATTAAATTACTCAGTCTAGAATGTGGGGAAATAAGATAAATGGACTATGCTTAAACAGGCTGCAAAGCCTTTAACAGATCCTCTGCGAATCGCAGAAACCACAATTTTATTTCACATTTTACGTGTTCTTTTAAGAGTTCTAATCCAAATGCAACCAATTCAGTCGCATCGCCGACTTGTTTGGGGTCTTGTTTGAAGTATGGGGTCTTATGCACTCAACGGCCCAAAATGAGTATTTCTACATTTTGATCTGAAATCAATGTGGTTCAATCTGATTGTTTGACTAGATAATCATATGCAACCATTTTGGTCCGGCATTTCAAATAAAATTTGAAACAGATAAAATTACTGGCCGAAATGACCAAAAAGATTATTTATTTTAGAAATGTTATCTACGCTGTTATCTCTGTTAGCATATTTGGTCAACAGATATAATTTGAGCAGGTCTGCGGTAAAAAGTTTTCGTTTCATTTGGAAGTTTTTTTGCTTATGTTGCTAATAAACTAGCTCTGAATCGTTTCGTTTCGTTTGTTTGTCGTTTTTTTTTCTATTACTGTGATTTGCAGAAAATTCTACTTAGTTTTGTCAGTTATGCAATTATAGTTAGAAACCTTTCAACAGTTGAATTGCTTCTTAAGATGAGAAAGGCCTATAAACGCTTCTGAGAAAACTATTCGATGTGATGTCTTAAAAAATAAGTTGCCAAGGAAGTAGAAGGGTTTGCATTCAACTTTTCTTGGTTTAAAAGTTGTTTTTTTTCTACGCAAGTAAATTTCAAATGGTTTAGAATGGTATCTGATGATAAGACTTTTCGGTCGTTATTTGACCCGCAAATGAAAATTCCTGAAATTTTTTTTTCTGGCATCGAGAAAACTCTGTCTGAGTATTCTGATTTAAGGAGCGAATAATTGGGTTTCTTTATGGCCGAAAACATGTTAAGAGACTAAGACATTACGTTTTACTTTCTGCAGCTGTGAATATGATTATAATTTAAACACAAAAAACGGTCGTCAGATCAGGCTGTCAACTTTCCCCGCAATTGCTTTTAGATATGCGTGTTACAGTGTCAAAAAAACGTAGGGATTACGCCTACATAATTCTTGATGATTTTGTTTTTTTTTTCCTCAGGAAAAAGCCTTTAAGTTTGTTCAAGCTTATATTTGATTATTTGCTGTTTGATTTTTGGCTTCTTTTAAAATTTAGTTCATTTTTTGTTTAAAAAGGAGGAAAACTCCATTACCGAATAGCAAAATTTTAAAGTCCATGACAAGCATAAACGACTTTTGGTTTCGATAGTGGGTTTTAATTATTATATTTCCCAGAGGAAGAAAAAAAGTTACTTTTTGATCCAGTTTTCTCAAAATGGGTTATTTTTATCAATAAAGTGTCAGTCATAAATTAATTAATCACTTTTAAGGGAATATATTTCTTTTTTTTTCTGCTAAATTCAAAAAAGCAAAATAATTGATGAACTTGTCTCTGTGTCGGGAAAAGGGTCTGGAATTTTCCGTTTTTGAGACTAAAATACAAGAGAGTTTACTCAACTTTTCTTCTTTTTTAAATTTGTTCGTTTAAAGAAATGCAGTGTTACTTTTGGGCTGAATTGTTCACAAAAGATACTCAGTTGATTATCAACTTCTTGTCATAATTGGTGAATAAATCGACTGTCAGGTGAATTCATCAAATTGAATTTTATTCATGATTGGAAAAAATGGATATTTTAGTAGTATTGGATGTGTACATTAAAGTTTATCTCTGTCTGAGGTTTTTAATTGAGTCTGCTACTATCTATGGTTCGATAAATTGGTATTATCTGTGTTACTATGTGCTCGCTAATTGATTCTCACCATTTTCATGAAAAAAGAGCTCCGAGTTGCTATGAAAAAAAAAACAACAACAAAACGGCAGTTTACTCTTGCATCCGTTTTCAGAATTTTAGCTTTGTTCCCGTGACAGTCCTTGTCAATTTTCTCCTAGTTCAGGAAATCACTAAACGCAGTCTGAGCAAATAAAAGTGCAATCAGCTACCCACTTTTCACATAGTATCAGCTGAGATTAATTTCCACAGTCTTATCTGAATTTCTCCCTGTGAATCAATTTTTTTCAAGCTCGAGTTGAGTTGCCTACATTTTTCAATCATAGCGATTTTCATTCAGTTCTATTTTTCTCCAGGGGTTTTCAGAGAAAGATATATGACCCTGAAATTTATTTGTGGAGAAATTGGAAATACTCTCAAAATCCTAATTACCCCAAAGTGTCTATTGGTAATGCCTTCAATTTGGATTCCTTTGAAATTTTGGGCAGGATTGGAAACGGGGCGGGAAAATGTACACTAATTTCGATCCAATATTTTCTTTGAGGTTTCCGCGAGTCGAGTCAGTCGCAAATGGTAATTGCATCAAAGATAAAAGAGCTGTTTTTTTTTTATGTGCCGAGAAACTCTTTTCAATTTTGTGCATTTCATAGAGCAATGTATTTGAGCATACAACTATTTACATTTTATATCTAATTTTTGTATTTGAGGGACACAGCTCATATGGTGTGCGTTTTCGATACGCTACATCCCCACTAGTTTTTTACGGGGTGGTCAAAACAAGCTCTTTTATATACCTATATAAAATGAAAAAATGAAAATTCCGTCAAATCTTAGTTAAATTTGCGGGACTCATTTTTATACTTTTACAAAATAACACTTGAATTCACTTCCTTTTTCGCGTTTCAGACTAATTGAATGTTCGGTTGTGCCCTAGTGTGTAAAATGCGAAATGGTTCCACTGCTCTGACTTGTCAAATAGTACTGCAACTTATAATCACTTGAACACCGTCTTTGTTCTGGTCGAAGTCCAGAGTCAAACTACTGCTGAATCGACTAGAAAAAATACATAATTTACCTCAATCAACTGAAACTATCGAGAAAAAATACTATTTATTTGAAGAAAAAAAAATTAGTGAGCATTCGCAGATATAGGACTACTGCATTTGTTTGTACTCTGCCGAATCACATTATTTTAGAATATTTTACAAATTAGTTTCGTACTGTATAGCTAGTTCATCATTAGTGAGTTGCTGAATCACAATTGCCGTTAGAATATCTTCTCTGTAATCTCTCAACTGTCAATCATTGTTTTATTCTTATTTGATCCTGCAGTTGGATTTCATTGACTGGATTCCCTTATTGTGTAGGGTGGTGAAAATTAGTTATAACTAGTGCTCGTAGTATTATTAGTTTTACTTCACGCACCAGAAGTATCAGCTTATAAGGTGGCCACACTGAAAGAGCGTCGGTGAATTTATCCTTTCGTTAGTGTGCGAATCCGATATTCTGTCTCTAAAAGGAGACCTATTTTGTGTGGCGTCGACATTATTTCACTGATTACTGGTGAAGTTTTTATCTAGCTATTGTCTTGGTAGTGTTCGATTAGATTGTTGCATTGGGAAGATGCGCTCAGGAGTGGGATTCCAGTACCAGCCTGCTGCAAATGGGACTGCGGCGGCTGAGTCATCATCGTCCTCGTCTGTCACCCCCACTCCCCACCAAAGTGCCTCATCAACTGCTGCCTCGCGGGGAACAGGGAGTGTGAACACTTCAGTCTCAGGTATGGGCGTGCGTCATGTGTTTATAGACGTATATCTACAGCATAACGTTTCAAGGGGTGGTCTGCGAGTATGTCATTTCTCTGTACAGTGAAGTCAGAACAGAAATAAATGATCGAGGAAGCAATGAATGAGAAATTCTGCGAATGAAAGCCGGCGTTTCGTTACGTTTGCGAGTAGCAAGCGTTATCAAATCGGAATATAGACTTTTTGTGTCGGGTTAAGGACTGAATCACTTGGTATCTTGTTTCATAATGAATTCAAATTTCAAGCGTCTCCGGCACACTTTAGAAAAATAACTTTTCGTCTTTATCGATTTAAATTTCGGTTTTCGTCGAAAAGACCTTTCTTTGTTCCAAACTAAAAGTTTAACCTGAAAAAGTAGGCCTAAATGATTTCAATGAGTTGCCCTGTGATGGTAACTAAATAAGCGAAGGCGTGTTTGCGTTTGTGTGGCAGGAGTGTCGAGTGCGTCCAATCTGAAGTGTCTGCTGCCGCAGAGTGCGGAGATCAAGTGTGGAGACCAGTTCAAGTTCCTCATCCTCATGATGCCCACAGACACCTCAGTGCCCTTCTTCATCCAGGAGCTGAACAAACACAACTGCAAGTGTGTGGTCAGAGTCTGCGAGAGCAGATACTCCCTTGAGCCATTCAAACAGGCCAACATACAGGCTAGTCACTATAGCTACACGCTTACAGAAGCTTCTTTTTATCTATGTTCGGGTCTGTTTAAGAGTTATGAACGTAGTGAGTACTCTTATAAAAGTCCTGCTGATTTTTTTTCAAAAAGGAAGGCAAACTTCACTATCGAAAAGCAAAAATGTAAAGCTTACGAAAAACGTGATCTAAAAAACGTGACTTCAAATTTCGAAAATATAAATTAATTATCACATTTCCCAGGGAAAGAAAAGTTTTACCTATTGATCTAGTTTTCTCAAATTTTGTTAATTTTATCAAAAAACTGTTTCGAGTACTTAATTTTCAATCAAAAAACACATAATTTGTCAATCAAAAAGCTGTTTCGAGCAATTAAATCAAAAGAGCAGGCTTATTTTAGAACGAAGAGCCATGAAATTTTAGTGAAATTATTTTTCCAAGTTTTTAGCGCCACTTTTGGAAGGAACAACTTCAAAAGTTCAAAACAATTTCTGCAAAAAAAAAATTTTTTTTCGGATTTTTTTTCTTGGAATAGTTCTGTCTATTTTATACTGACTGTCGAGTATATTCAAATTTTAGGTTTTCTTCAGATCATTTCATCACACCGCGCCCAAAAAACAACTTGGAAAAGACATGAAAAAAATATGTAATTTTTATGCATATGGTCGGAACATTCTTGGCTACTTGCACAGCACAACAGGCTATCCTTTTTTATTGTTTTAAAGACCCCCGAAGTCGAATATGCTTAAATTAGCTTAAATTACTAAAATTAAAGCGCTTCTCATCACACCACGCACAGAAACGACAAATAAAATGTGGTCGGAACTTTTTGTGCTTCTTGCACAGTAGCCGGATACTCTTGTTTATTTTACAACTTAGTACTAAATAGTTTGAAGTGCTGTCGAATAAACTGAAAACACTTTTTTTATGGTGCGTGTTTGGAAAACGCCTTGAAATTTGATCAGGCTCAAATTTGCTTTTCGCGTTTTGATGTTTGATTCGTTCTAAGCTCAGTTAAAAATCCTTTTCAGAAGGGAAGGAAAGTTACGCTCTCCGATAATGAAAGTACAAATGGCCCGAAAAAGCATGAATGCTTTTAAAGTTCATTAATATACTTAAATTTTCAGATTTGACCCAGTTTTCTTTTATTGGGTTATGAAAGAGTGTTAATCGGAAAATTTTCTTGGTACTGAAGTTTTTCGATATTTTTGGGTTAATTAGGTATATCAACTAACCATAGCTAAATCAGCATAGCTGAATTGCCTCGCTGTCTATATTTATGCGTGAATATTTTCTTTGTGCTAAACTGGCTGATGTGAGGGCCACTTAAATCTCGAGACTAGTTTCCATCCGGCGTCTACCGGCCCTTCTTTTGCAATGCTTACTAAGTTTCAACGACCGACAGGAAGACATTCATTTTGGTTATGTGATTTTTTTCAGGAAAAAGTTAATTACGCTTTATTTTTCTGCGACTTTTTTGCGTTTGATTTTTTCGAGGTACTTTTTATATTCAAGTGCGTTTTGTTTTACAAGTGGAGTTGAATTTTTGTTCCAATTTTGGTTTCACACCAAAATATGCAAAACATATTGATCCAGTTTTCTCAACTTGGACATTTATTAAAAACGCCAATAATTAAGGCCTCTTGAAGTTCACACTGCTTAAAATTTAAATAATTTTTCTTGGAATTTTGAATTTTTTTAAAAAGATTTCTTGAGACACTTTTCCGAATGTCTTAGTAGACACTTTTCCGAATGTCTTGTTTATCTGTTTTGATGTTTCTTGTTTCTTTTTCCCCCTTATTTTCCATCATCGGTCCAACATTTTTTCTTGTCATTGGAATAAGCGAAGTTCAACTTGGCTCCGTGTCAATTCTCTGCTTGCTCAATTGTGTAGTCTCTTTGTCCCGTTTAAATAATTTCGTATGACCATTTTTTAAACTTCTCTGCTCGTATGTTTAACGTGTGATTGTGCGGAGGAGTTTGATTTTCCGGTGTAACTTAATTATAGTCTGGGCGAGAGCCAACTTTGAGAAGTCGCTGATGCGTAGATTACTAGCAATATTAAGCAGGAGTTGCTGACACCAAATTGACCATATCTTCCTTCAAATTGTTCTCCACTCTCATTGAAAAAGAGGCTATTGAATTGTAAAAAAAAATCAAATGTGTTCTTTTCTTACTCAATACTCTGACAGGAAATTTTTTTGCTTCTGTGGTGAATTGAACTCCTTAAATTTGCGTATAAGCTAACGCAAGCTACTACTAATACTTGTATTGGACTCTAAATTCCATTTGTAAACAAGGAGCACCACTTCATTTAGTTGACTGCTGCACTTTTTGCGCGGCTGTCGCTTGATAGATATTACATGCGATATACATACCATTTAAAAAAAATAATGAAATACTTTTCATGGAAAATCATTTTCCGAATTTATCAAATTTGCTTTTTGTTTTAATTCAAACTAACGAAGTTTTTAATCATAAACTTGGGCTACGGAGTCCTCAGCTATTAAGTCGATCAAAGGATGAATCTCAGCTCCTCGAATTTTTTCGACACGGGAGTTGCTTGGTAAACAAACCAAACGTAATCTTCTGTCATGTTGTGATAATTTATTGAGGCAAGCGAAAGGGAAGCGTAAACTGTTACCTTCCTTTCCTCTGATACCACCATTTGATATGTAGCCTTTTGATCCATTTTAATGGCCTTGAATGATGTTTCTTATGTGGGTGTTTGTAGGTGATTGATTTGCCTTACCAAGACGGGAGTGCACCCTCTCCTGAAGTGATCAACACATGGATTGAGTTGCTGCAGGGCAAGAGGGCAGAACTGCAGAGGGAGAAGAAGGAACAGAAGGAGGAGGGGGGCAAGGGATCTACGCCCACATCGTCTAATGCTAATTCTGCCTTAACCGAGAACAACAACCACCTCAACAAACACAATAGTGCAGGTAAGTTGGTCTGAGACAATGAAGATGTTTTCTAGCCTTATGATTTTTTCGTGCATCTTTACATGCAAAAAGATTGTTTTTTAAACGGATTTGTTTTTGATAATGTCATAGGTTTGAAATGATTACTTTTAATTGCATACGATTAAGTTATTTTTAGGTAAGTTATAAGAAACTTTTATTTTTAGTCATAAAAATGGGCAGTGGGGGGTGTTTCATAGTAAATTGAAATAGTTTGAATGCTTATTCGTATGAATATATCAGTGCTGATTAACTATTAAACACCCCTCCCATTGCTGGGGGATTCAGTACTAGGTACAACATTCGTCTATGCCTAGTCGTTGAGTTAAACCTTCATAGCGGTGGTTATTCATGTCTCAGTACTATAGAGATAAAAAAGGGATTAGTTAACGATCCATTCATTCAACTGGTAAGTCCAAGCCTTTAATTAAGACGGTTTATACAAAAGGGAAAGGTCCAACATACTAGCTGTTCAGCTCTTCACGGAGAAGCGCTGTTTTCCCCTAGGTTAAGGCATGCATGCAGTTTTTTGGCTATTTTTCTGGGCTGTGTAATGTTACCTCAGCCTCAAGCAAAAAGCACGGATCATGGTAGGCCTCGAACATCCGACCTTTCGATTGAGAGACAGAGACGTAACCACTTCACCACCGCACCCTTTCAATCGTTTCATTGCAGGCTCTTCTTCGCCATCTGGGAGTGACAAAGAGAAAGAGAAGGACAAGGATGGCAAAGGGGGGAAGGAGAAGGAGCCAGTGTGTGTGGCCATCCACTGTGTGGCGGGACTGGGCAGGGCGCCGGTGCTGGTGGCTGTGGCCCTGATGGAGTGTGGCATGAAGAGTCTGGAAGTGGTGGAACAGATACGGGCCAAACGCAGAGGTAATGTGCAGTTGTTGTTCATGGTACCCTGCTTGCACCTGATATGTGAAACATCTGAAAAACCAGCAGGTATTGCAATCATCCGGAAAACAGCTCTACTAGGGCAAACATCCGACATTTTTTGTTTAAAAAAGAGACAAATGCAATTTCTACCGTCATTCATGTTTTCAGAAATGACCTCATTGACCTCATTTTACTTGTAAACTGATCTGAAACGCTACTGCTTGATTTTTTCGACAGATAAACAAAATTGTATCTGAAGAATTGGTTTTACTGGTGTTAAAAAATATTTTAATAATTGGGTAGTCAATGACATTGTTTGACCATTGATGGGATTGATGCCTTCGGCCATACCTGAGCATTGTTTCGACCATACTTGAGCATGCCTGATTTTAGGTGCTATAAACCAGACGCAGTTGGACTTTTTGACGAACTACAAATCGAAGAAGCGCCTGAAGCAAAACAGAAACAAACTGATGGCCTGCTTCCAGATTATGTAACTGGACTCAAACTGCTCTCAATCATTGGCTTCCAGATCAAAGCTTAGAAAAACCCACTGAAATACGCTAACTTGAAACAGAAACACAGATGCTTAGTTGGATTGATTGCACATATACAATGTTTTGCGCGCTTCAGAAGAAGTTATAGAAGAAGTTTATGCCCGATTTTACACGGAACTGTTGCTGATATCTGATGAATAGTCAGAAAAGTCTAATCACGATTGACATATTGTTATCTTCTGCAGTAATATCACTAGACTCTATTATAGCTAACCTATCTTTAACCAAATTTGAAGCAATTTAGCTTAGGTTAATGCAGCAGCGTTATTAACATGAGATTTTATTGTATTTTGTTGTTGCTCATGCAGATGGCCTATGGTTTGTAATGTTCGCAATAATTTGTCTTTATTTTTGCAGAACTCAGCTATCGTTTATGCCTTTTGCTCAATTCAGATTTTCACTGGACTATTTCTTGATACGGGCGAAGCAGAGCTTCGCATCACTCGCGATACATTAAAAACAAAATGACAAGCTAGCCGACAAGAAATTTGAACGAAATTCTGTCGAAAAAAATATTCTGCGAAAATATCGAAAACAAGGTAAGGTTTATCAAAGTTTTCATACGTGTCTCGAATGGAGTTAATTTTGAGAATAAATGTCTAGAAGGAAATTGCACACAGTAATAAGAATTGAAACGAAATTTATGTATCGGTAACTAAGCCGACAAAACAATTGAGTAGGCGCTGGTTGAGCCGAAAAAAGATGTAAAGATGTAAATTAAATCATCCTCAAAGAACTGACTAGCTCTTAATAAATATTTGTGAGAAAAATATTATTTAAAAAAGTATAGTTCACGATTACGAGACATTTACTTTCCGATGTATGTAACTTGCTCTTGCTAATGTTTTCGTGCTAATTAACGAACTGGAGACAGTTATTTTCCAGCTGGCAAATAAAAGTGCTCATTTAGTGACACTTGCTGCACAGCTTTTAAAATAGCGATGAAAAATTTATAGCACGTTAATCAATCATGTTAGTGGCTTGTATTTTAAGAACCTTGTGAGCACATGGGGCAGGTACCGGGACGTGAAACACCAACTCCCAGGTTGAGAGTTCGATTCCGGCTCATGGCGAAAAATGTTAAATTTCGAGGTCTGTTTGTATTTTCTTTCCTTGTTTCACTTGTTAGAGTCTTGAAGATTCAAAAAGTGCGCAAATGTTTAAAAGTGTAAATTTTTTAGATTTCCAAGCTGAACGAAAAGTATATTTATTGACACATGTTTCTATTAATCCGGGTTACGTTAATAAAAAAACTCAGAAAGTGTTGTTGTAGCTCAAAGAGTTTGATATACATTTTTCATGAAAGGCTCAGAATATCAACAGCAGAAAAATCTTCAAAAATTTTATCAGATTTTTTCAATTTCATTGACACTTTAACGTTTTTTGTTTGCTATGATTGACTTTTGGCTTCAGTATTGTACGAATAATTACCTAAAAATTATCGTACAAAAAATATTAATGCGGCTAAGGTGCAAAAATTGAGCAGAGAAATCAACAATCCAATAATACAATATGCTTTGCTAGGTCAAGACTATATTGGTTCACTTTCTCTTAGTCCAATTGTCTAGACCCCAAAAAATTCAAAGACTTGTCTTACAAACATTTAGAAGAGATCCTTCAAGAGAAATTTGATTGCATATTATGAAAATTTTCTGATGAACAGATTATAATCAAACTCGACGTGAACGAGCTAAATTCTAATCACCTGCTGCAAACCAATGTAAAAACGTTCTATTAATACCCTGAAAACCTTTTTTGAACTTGGGTGCCGTACTTCTGCTTTGTTTACTCTACTGTTGCAGCGCAAATGCATGAGAGTATAAATGCGAGAGTATAAATGCATAAAGTTGAACCAAAATGTAACAACTATAAGCACAGTTGGCCGATTGGCCTAAGCTATCGTACCGACAGTTGACGTAGGTTCGAGTCCCCCACCTGCCCATGTATTAATATACTAAAAAAAGGGATTATATCCTATTTTTTCTGTTTTTTGATTCTAATTCGGTTCAGCCTTGAATAAGGCTGACCGCTAAAAAAAGAGCAATTTGTCTCAAGGACATTACCGACCGGTTCTTGTGGCTAGCTTGCGCTAATTTGTTTATTGAAGCTGATTGTTGGTGAATTTATGAACTCGTTATACAGCAAATTTTGGGATGAAACTATCAATATTGCCGTTGAATTTTGTATTACCGAGAATACGAATTTATTGTTGATTTCGGTTAAATTCATCCTACGAAGATTAGTGGGCACATCTATTGTCTCTCATAATTGCCTATGAAGTCCACTCCACTTAGCCACTAGCGCCAGGACTAACATACGAGCTGTACAGATCATCACAGCAAACCTTCATTTTTTATCATGTGCAAGTAAACAAAATTTTCCTTCATTTTGAAATGGGTCGAAATTATTCAGCTTCCCAAAATCGAATTTTGACTCCTATATCACGCTGAAACACCAATCGAGGAAAGCAAACAACGATATCTGTCTCGTAAGACTGTGAATTTTGGTAAGCTTTTGAAGAAACCAGAAAATGCGAGAGAATGACTTTGCAAAGGGTAAGAATTTAACCTTCAATAAATCCAATATCAAGGGCAAGATGAAGAAAATGAGACACGATAGTAATAACGAATGGTATGACCCAACCGAGTAAATTAAGAGAGTGGATACAGCTGTATCCGAAAGTAACAGCTTCAAAATCAGTTCTCAGTTGGTTACTGGAGATAGATGCCTTTATGAACCATTTTCTCATCGTCAAACTTGGATCGTTTCATAAGAAAATCGACACCCCTGCCTTCCAGGGTCAGATTAGATAGCTACGGAAGAATTTTAGCTCTTTTGAAAATTCACTTGTTTTAAATCTTGGTTGGCAAATATATACATGATGACTACCAGAATTTCCATCTTAGTTGCACTTTTAGCACGAATACGTTATTTCTCAAAACAAAACCTCATCATCTCATTTTTTCGAACAGTTATTTTTTGAACAGCAGTCTTGTGAATCCAATTTTTGAACATTTTTTTTTGTAACAATAAAAGTTACAACTGTTTTAAATTTTGGAAAAAGTGCGAGTGAATTGTATAAGTGCTAGCAAAACCTTATTCAAACAGTTATATGAACACGTTAATCAATATTCGAAACAAAACGATCTGTTGACGGACAAATATTTGTGTTTTTGATGTAACTGCCGAGAGACAAAAATATTCTGCGCTCTAAATTGGTCTGAAAATCACCAATGTAAATACCAATTTTTACGCAGTAAATTTCTTATCTTCTTTCATTTGGAAACACGCTTGAAAGGGCTAATATAAAACCCCGCCTAAATTGGTACGAGCTGCTTTGAGGTATTCAAATACCTAGTGACGTGGTGGGAACAAAAACATCTTCAAACATTTTTCTGATCGTCAATTTGATTTGAGTAGATCTACTCTGTAAATTCAATTTATTTTTAGCTTTCCCATTTCAATTACTGAAAACCTTCAATTGTTTTTCTTAATCAAAATTCAACTTTGATATTTGCTCATTTGTTTTATCGATTTTTTTGTGTTTTTTTATTTGCTGCCGATAAAAGTATACAATTGCCCAGCCATAAAATTGTATTTTTTAAACTCAAATGTCATCTCGCTTTAAAAAGCAAAAACGCAATTTACAGACAATAAAGATCCAATTAGCCATCACAAGTGAATTATAGGTGACCGGATGTTAGACATAAAGCAAAATAGACGTCACCAAAGAAACAAAATTTAAAAGTTTAATCTTTTTGCAAATTAGCATTTTGGACAAAAAGCAAACCCGTACTAACAAGAAATGGATTGTAATCAATTTCATACAGGTAATGTAGCAGATACCTAAAAATCGATTCGAATCGATTTAGTTTGATACAAAAATGTAGCTTGAAAATCAATTTCAATCGATTCTGATTTCATAACTTTTTTAATTTCATTTTTCTATGGATTTGAGTGGGAAAAACTGATGATAAAAAACACTTTTGTATATTTTTTATACAGGTTATGTTCAGATTTTTTTTATCAAACAATAAAAAAATAGCTGGAAAAACATTCGAACATACGTTTTTCTTTTGGTTTTTCGTTTTAGTTTTTTGACTTAAAAATAAACTATGAGGATAACAAACATCTAATTTTTCTGCACCAAAAATGAATTTTTTCAATTTGATTTCTCTAACTATTTATAATTTGCCGTACAAAATTGTGCTCAGAACGTTGATAATGAAAATCACACTTGAAAAATTTTTGCATAGTTTTCTTGTCAGTACCTTGGGAACCTTTAATTTTGCCCAACTTGAAAGGGAATCACGTAAACAAAATAGTTTGCGTAAAACGCCCTCCTTGAATGAAACTTGCTCTCTGTGCCTCTGATGAGAATTTTTTAGTACACAAATTTGCTCAAGCTTGAAACAAACAAAAAATAGTACAGTCCTATAAGTTTCGATGATTTTACTACTTCACAAAAATCCATTTGAATCTAATTAAATCCGTTTTTTTTATACAAAAAAAAATTGAGTTTATCGACCGTAAAAATCTATTTACTCAATTCTAAAATGATTTAATTATCTTAATGGGCTATCGATTTTTATACTTAAATCAATTTTTATGGGCTATCGTGTATTATCTGTATAAAAATCGATTTAAGTCGATTTGATTTTAATCTCAAATTGTCCGTGCGGGAAAGGCTCAACCAAGTTTAATACTCAATACAAAAAGACTATTCAATTTTATTGCATGTTAAAAAATTTCCTTAAATGGTTTGAAAACGTTAACCGAAATGACATGAGAGCACTTTTGAAATGCATTAAAAACATTTTTGAAACGCAAGTCTTACCATTGCGACTTGCCTTTAAGAAAGCATTAAAGATTTGCAGTAAGGAAAACCCAAACGAAAACATTTAGGAAAGTTAATTGTAGTCAGCAGACGTGAACAAAAGTTGAAAAAGTAACCAAATTCAGGCACGATAACAAGTCAATAACGTCTAAATTTCAATTAATTTGTCGATTTTTTTCCTATGCCGCCTGAATTAGTTTAATTAGCAAGTGAGTTTTCAGCAAAATTTTATAAGATCTGCTCATTTTTCTCAAATCAATACGCATATTTTTGTGCCAAGTTTTGTGCGCAAATTTAACTCTTTAGTATTCCTGCTTTCGAAGATAGTGACAAACTGAATTTTTTTTCAGAGTGGTTGTTTCTTTCCAGACAATTTCCGTTTTTTTAATTAGCAAATTTCAAAAAAAAATTTTCCCTATCAATAGGAAAGTGCTCTAGTCCTGAGCTCAAATTAAAACTTTCTTCTGGGTTAATACTTCGAAAATGTATGGGATTCAATCCGTTCTAGAAATTAATCCAAATTCAATTGAGGCATGGTATTTCGGAAGTTTATTATTTTGCTATACGCGAAATAAATCGCTTTGCACTTAACATATCGTGAGGGGGGTGATATTTAAAAAATCTCAATTTTTTGTGAAGACTTCAATTTTCTAAATCTATTTTTCAAAGCAAACATACTCCATAGACATTAAAATGCAGTCGGAATATTCAGTGCTTAGCCCTGTGACGAGCCCTTTTTTCAATTGATTATATTGCTATGCCCACTTTTTTCAGGGGCAGAATTTGATGCTAATGTTTTAAAGTATGCGTGAAAAAAATTCAAAATATAAGGGAAAAATCATTAAAAAGGCATTCATCTATTTGGCGAGAAAATCAAGTACCAAACAGTTCTGCAAAAGCCCAACATTTCTCCAAAAGATAATTTTAAATAGCAGGATCAGTATAAGCTGTTCCATCAATATCTGATCTGTTGTATGGTCTCTGAGTCAGAGTGAAAAGATACCTTTAAAGATCACTTGGAAAGAACAGCCGTTTTATAAACCTCTATTGACAATACTGCAATGGCTGCTTCTTGTCCTTGACGAAATGGCAACAACCAGCTAGGATCTATTATTGTATGATAACTTGAAATAGATCAGTTTGTCTCGCAGCTAACTATCCTGTCAGTAACCATACGGGTATATGAGAATGCCATACTGATTGCCCAAAAAATTCGAAAATGTCAGGACATGTTGCGAGCAAACTTTAAAGTGCCGTACGCCACTTTGCTCCTCTGCACTTCAAGAAGGGTCATTTAATATTTCTTCAAATCAATTTATATCTACTCTAAAATTGAGCAAGATGGTTGAAACATCATCATGACATAACGGAGACATATACTAGCAACAGCGACATCAAACATCGTTTTGAGGCAATATAATGATATATTCATTCAAAAATTAAGGGAATGCATGATGATTGATCGGGGCAAAACAACAGTGCCGAAAAAAAATTTTTTTTTTCAACAATTCCATTTTTTTAAATACTGTTTTGGCACTGTTGAACACAGTTTCAGTTTCGACTCTGTTGAACGCCTCTGTTTGATCAGAAGTTGTATGCGTAGTAGTTGTCTTCCACTTTGTCTTCCTCTCTCTTGTGTCTGCCGTGGTCTCTTACGTGGGCCCAGTTTGCACTCAGAGCTATCACACACAACAGCTGAAACAAACCACATGCTCTGAAAACTTTGATTGCTGCGGTCAATTTTTCTAATTGCTCTAATTGACCGACTTATTGAAATGCTTCATCTTCGGTTTTTGTAAGAAGTCGTATAAATCAAATTTGAGGAATCATAAATTGCTCGTAAAATTATGATAACTTACATCACAAATTGGTTCAATACATATAAAAACATTTTCTGGTATAGCACAACCTCAAATACCTTACAACATCATTATGTTATGGGTTCTGGCTCTGAACTACACAGAGACTTCTCACAAACTGATACAGAAATATCATTGATATATATGAACCACTATATTAAAATGAATAGAGTCAACCAAACTATCTGTAGATTCTTTTTCCGGGGAGTCGTCTCCTCTAAGCACGCTTTCACTCTACTTAACGGCCACAGAGTTTCTCCCCTTTATACCGTGCAATAGCGGAGGACACCAAGACACGATATGATCCACAATCCCGAAAGGGTTATGATGGTGGTTAGATTGAATCGGCCGATCAAAGGATTACGCAACTTCCCCCTAAATTTCTGCTCATTTCGGCTATCCTTTTACGCTTCTAGCTAGTTCGGCAAATCGTGGGCTCAATGAGTAAATTCTCAATCGCAAAGGAAATAAAACAATTTAGAGTGCCCTTAATGAGCTAACTCCTATTTAGCAACTTCTATATTGAAGCCGGCATCCCGTTCCGTTCAACCGCTCATCAGTTTTCGGTTGACTCGATTCAAAAATTGCCTACTCTAGCAGAGCAGCGGCACAACTAGTTCAAACCGGTACTAAACTCGGGTTCCAGCGCAACTCGCTCGCACAACTATTTCAACCCGGTACTAAACTCGGGTTCCAGCGGAACTCGCTCACTAGCAATAATTGTTCTCTTCTCTAATTGAGAACCAACTACTCGTAATAGTAGCGAACAACTGTTCTGACTCTTAAAGGCTCTTCGGTACCCTCCAATTCCTTATCTTTCTTTACACTTAGTCTTACTTAAGTCACGCCATTCTCTATCAGTCCTGACATCCGCCTAAATCACCCGTACGCACAAATTTTAAGACTATATCCCTCCTCCTGTCAACTCTGCCACGTGCCAACTTCGGCTTCTTTTATCAATCTTTTCACGCTTATTAGATACCCCGTATGCGGTAGCTGTCACAACTTGACCAAGCAAACAAATGTCATACGATTCTAATCAACCAATTCCTGAACTCTGTGAACTTCAGCTCTCGAGTTCAACTCAACCTCCAAACCATGCTATGTTTACTCAGTAAACCTCCTAAGGTCTTTATTTTAATTATCCCGTTAACAGTCCGACTTCCCAAAGGTAGGGGGAGACCCTTTTCATTGGTAGCTAATTCATTCCAAGCAATTAAAAATTCTACCTGTACTCTATTCCAATCCCGACTTTCTAGCTATCAAAGGAACGTAGTTCGTCTATTAGGGGTCAAATAAAACCAGAAAGTCACCACCGGGAAGCCAATTAAAATCCCCGTCCATTCATGCTAATTAGGAAACTTAACTCTGATGCCACGGTCCTATAACCATCAGATTGCTCTGGGACTATTTTTCTTTAGTCCAGTTGAATTGCTATTAATGGATCATTCGCCAAGGTAAACTGAACACAATGTTTACCAAGTCCATTTTGAAATAAATCCACTACTCCAATGTTGCCATGTAAAAGCTATATCTCTATCAGCTTTAGTTTCCAATTATAAGTTTTCACCCAATTTTTGCTAGGTGACCCATTTGCATTTCCAGGGGTTGTGCTGGGGAATACGCCACTTTTCGGTGTTAATCTTGGGGTTTTCCATGCAATTTTGGGTCAAAAAGCCCAAAGGTCACCCAGGGGTCAACCGGGGTCAAACTTCCGTATTTGAGGTTAGAATCCCATGGGGGTCCTAACTACCAAGTTTCATTCATATACCATTAATACTTCACAAGTTATACCATTTCTTAGGTCCATTATCACTTTTCCGGAAAAAGGCTATTAACACCGGAAGGATTCGTCGGAGGGTTTTTACTCACTAGGGGTATTTTTTCGGCGGAGTCCGTATCTTATGTCCATTGCCGCAATGAAATCCTTATGCCACCGTTCATCATTTCGCGTAAATAGCCTGTTTCCGGTCTTAGGGGGTGTTTTTCCAAGTGCTAATAGCTTCCGATCCAACCACCGGATTTAGTTCAACTTATAATACAAGATGTATCTTGCCAGTACGTATCACCCCTCCAAGTTTCAGCTCCCTGCACTCATTGGAGGCCGAGAAACGACTTCCGGAAGTTACGGGTGGATTTGTTTACTTAGGGCTTGAAACCAGAAGTGGGGGTCTGAGGGGTCTGTGTTTCCAAACTTAAGTTTCCCTTAACTAGGCCTACAGCATACTAGAATTTAAGCCCAACACCGTCAGTAGTTTCCGAGTTCTGTTAGGGCCATTTACACTTCCCGGGACCGTTATCACTTGCCCACCAAGGTTGTGAGGGGTCCAATTTTTTGTATGCCAGGCTCAAATCATCTCTAGTATCGCGCCTCTGATTTTCATAACATTAGCTTTCTTAGTTCCGATTTTGGTGGGTTCGCCAATTTTTTCAAATTTGGTTTTCTGGCATAGGAGGGACGATATCTTCCAAGATTGAACTATTTCGGATTTACCCTTTGTTTGCTGCACTACTTAACTTAATGACGAATCAATCTTACGCTCAAGTTACTGTAGCATGAAAGACAGTAGAATCGCCAATTCGACACTATCGTTCTCTTTTTCTTAACGTCTGTTATACTTCACCCTTCTTAACTCTACACATTTCTTATTTTATATCAAATTTACATATATTCCTACATTTCCGAGGAAGAGACAGCTGCTCCCAAGTGCCAGGTAGTCTAATCCAAATGCAAACTCCAACATCTAAAATCAAAACCTTTACTATTGCTACTTAGATTGGAGTTTTAAACGTAGCCAACAGAAAAAGGGAAAAAAGTTAATGAATTCAGAAAAACATTTTTTTTCCTTCCAAACTTGAGAATAAACACTTAGAAAAAAGCGCTAAATTTCTTTCACGCTGAAAATTTTTCAAATGTAGCTAATCCAATTAAAGAAAATTGGGTCAGTGGACACTTTTTTATTACACTGGAAAGCTGAAAATGGAAGTCCGTTTTAAAAATCTGAATCACTCACAGCTTTTCGCGTTGTTTGCAGTTTATTTTCAAACAACTTAATGTGCATTACATCCTGCAAAAGATAACAATTTGAAATTAAAAAGGAGTCAAAGTCAAATTGTGAAATATCATATTTGAACGTGAACAATTTTTTGGACGTTTCCCTGAACAAGATTTTTGGAAATTTCACCACGACTTAGTTAAAGGACAAGTCGCATCATACAGATCTGAGAAAATACAATAGTATCAGGGTGTAATTGTATCAGGATTTAACTGAAAAGATAATTGTTCAATATTCGAAAAAACTTGCAAAAAATTTTTTTAATTAATTCTGAGAAAAATAATTTCGGGTTAAATTTTTTTTTTGAAGAAAAAAAAGTTGCCTAGAGAATTTTTAATTTCACTGAATGTCCAGAGTTTTTACTCACTGAGTCAAACTGAGGTTTCGCTGCACTTGCGATATATTAAACATATAGCATTGCGAGCTAGCTGATATAATTTGAGACAAAAACCACTAAGTCAAAAAAGGTGAAAAAAATGTCCAAAAATATATATAAGAACCATTGTCTCGAATGATCTCAAATGATGTTTAAGTTGACTAAAAAACTTAAGAAACAATGCCCAGCGTTGACTAAGCCATGCGACAAAAATTATCCACAGGTTATTAGGCAGGCAACATTTGGTTAGAGCGGAAAAAGAGTCGCAGACAATTTTGTACAACACAGCTTAAGTTATCACAAAGTAGAAAATCGCATAAAGCTGTATTTTTATGAAGAACAAACATTTATGAAGCAACTAAGGCAATATAGTACACTTGAAACAACTAGCGCTCAAAAACCGGTAAAGCAAAACAAAAAACGATAAGCGGAAATTATGAAGTTCAATTACCTACAACTAATCCGGGTCGAGGTGCTCGACTTATGATTCGACTTTGAAAATTAAGTAAGTGTAGTTTTTAGAGTGAAATTTTAAGGTTGAGAAGCACTTTTAGGTCGAGCATTAAAATAACACATGCCCAATTTTGGTCGAGAGAGTCACAATATAAGTCGAGCACAGTCAAAACATGCCCAACTTCGGTCGTCAAAGTCAAAACATAGGTCAAGCACAGTCGAAATTTACCTGATTTTGATCAAGAAAGTCAAAAAATGTGTCAGTCGAAGCATTTTTGCAAAAATTATTTAAGGTTTCAAGACTTAATTGCTCAAAAATTTTTTGTCAGCCAACTTTTAAGTTTTTTTTTTGTTTTTGGCTCAATGAGAGGCTTTGAGCAGCTATTTGGGGCTAAATGAACGCATTAATGGCTTAATTGCTACTCGTTAAGAAATTAAAGACTTATTTATTGTTGTTTCTTGGCTATTTTTCCAAAATAGTTTTTTTTCCAATTTTGTTAATTCCGTCTCACTTTTTATTCGCCAGCTTGCAAGGATGGTTCTCGAAATGTATCGCAAGTGATGCGAAGCTCCGCTTCGCCTCTTTGTTATTATTATTATATATCCGATCACTCTTACGGAAGAAACTATTGAGTAGGGTGGGCTGATAATCTGTGCATTTTTGTTACCTCAAAGGAGGTCAACGCGGATTGCATAATAAAGCCTGTTCATTGATGATTTATTTCGAAAAAGACTGGTCTGAATATATATTTTTTAGATTTATGTTTTTCAAAATTAGATTTCCAAAGCAGTGGATAAGCAGTGCCTTGATTTTTAATCACACACTTCTGAATAATCTATTTTTACGCTTCTTGGTTACTATATACGAATATAAACTCCAATTATGCAGAAGATACATTTTTTGAAAAACAAAGAAAAATTTGAAAACAAAAAAGATTGACAATTCTTAGGTTGTTTTTCTCTTTCAAAGTTCCTTAAACTGGTTACTATGATAACCAACAGGAAATAGAGTAGTGAACAGCAAATATCATAGAAATTTCCGACGACGATTATCATATTTGCAGAAATTTTAGATGAAAATTGAATCAAACTGCGATTTATTCGATTTTATTTTCAAATTTTGTGTTTTCTTTACAGAGCTAGGGAAAAAAAATAAGCATAAGAGTGACGTCAAACTTGGTGCTAAATGAGTTTTTTTAGCCGACTGAAAATGATATTGCTACTAAACTTAACAAAAACTAACCTCTTCACATGCATCGTCATCGTTCCATTTGTAACACACACTATTTGGGATGAGATAGGACAGATTGCCCGGACTGAAGTTAATGTCAATCACTTCAGTGTTGATCCTGTCTACAGTGTCTTCAGTGAGAGCGGAGGTGTTGAACGAGGGGATCCCAATGTCCAGTTCATCCAGAATTGATTCCCAATCCAGTTCATCTGTGAAAACGGGGTTTTAATATTACGAGGACAACTGTGTATTTTGTGAATTGTCAAACGATTTCTCATGCTGAAAACATAATTGTCACGAAATCCGAATCACGGCTATTTTTCTTTGATCTTTTTGCTGATTTGGATTCCACGAACAAATAGCGAAAATACTCTATGGCTCGAAATTGCTTCGATAGCGGTGAAATTTGCGGCAACCGCAACCAAATTAGCGGAATCCAGGCAGTTTGTACAATCCACAGTTAAATAAAAGACTAAATTTGTAGTAAATTGGGCAGTCTTGGAATCCGCAATAGTAAGCAGAACGCGCAAATTGTAAGTGGAAGCCGCAATTGAAACTGGAATCAGCAAACTGTATGTGAAATCCGCAAACTTACAGGAATTCGCTATTGTAAATGGAATCAGCAAACTATAAGTGGAACCGCAAATTGTAAAAGAAATCAGCAAATTATAAGCGGAATCCGCTAATTAAAGCGGAATCCGCAAATTATTAGCGGAATCCGCCCCGTGTAAGTGGAATCCGTGATTGTAAGCAAAATCCACAACTTGTAGCGGATTTCCAGAAATCCACAAATTGTTATGGAATCAGCAAATTGTAAGCGGAATCCTCAAATTGTAAGCGGAATCCATAACTGTAAGCGGAATTCGCTCAGTTTGTTTGCAGAATCCAGATATATTGGTCTTGTAAAGATTTGAAACGTATGAAGTCAAGCAACTAGAATAAAATTTTGGACTCACTACAAACTTTCCCAGTAATAAGTCAATTTTTTAGGTACCGAAAAAGTCCGACCAGGATTCGAACACCGGACCTTAAGATCATCCCAAGGCAGCGCTTTATCGCTATACAAGTTTGAAGGGGCTTCGAAGGTTTTGAGGTTCACAAATAACTCCGATACAAAAATGAATGCCTATAATTACCAGCAAATAACAAGACAAGGAAAAAACTTTATGAAAAAAGATTTTTAAAACTTTTTTTAAACTAAAAAAACGCGAAAAAAGACAAAAAACTGGAAACAAACTCAACTGCACCATTAAAAACTTCACAAAGAGTTTTCAAAATGCTAAAAACAAACCGGAACCAAAGCCGACAAAAATTAGCAAACACGAAAAATTTTCAATTTCCACAAAAAAACTGGAATCGTAATTCTGAAGTTTGTTGTCTCAAGCATGGATGTTAACACAGCAAAAAATACGCAGAACACCACTCCTTGAGTTCATAAAAAACTTCAAAAAACGTTTAAAATACTTTTTTAATGAAAATTGAAAATAGCAAAAATTGCAAAATTTCTTGGTACTCATTAAGTTGCCCAAAAGCAGAATATACTCGCACAAAAACGGCTTTTCAGTTTGAGCAAAATTTCTAAGGTTTAGGTAGACTCGGTGCTGCGGCGAAAAGGGAACAAACAGGAGTCCGAAAAAATTTTTTGACGCGCGAACAATTTTTTATGGCAATTTATCTAACTTTCGGCAGATAAAGTTAAATAACTTTAATGCATATCTAGATTCAATCAAATGAGCAATATTATTTTTGAATGCACATTTGCTCTCGATACAAAATTCATATAAATTTTTCTAATGAAAATCAAAACATAGCGAAAATAAACAAAACTTCTTGGAACTCAATAAGTTGCCCAAAGGCGGAATACGCTGAAATGTTTTTCAATTTGAGCAAAAAAGACCAATTTCAGGTAGATTTCGTGCCGCGGCAACAAAGCCGACAAAAAAGCGGACAAACAGATGTCCAACAAATTTTTTTTTGACGCGCGGACGATTTTCTGCTTACAAACAAAAACAGATCCTTCCCGGTTTCAAGCCATTGAAAAGGCGCAAATTAACGCCTGACATGTGATTCCATATGAACCAAAAGTAAACTGATTCGATTGATTTTGATAAACTAGTTTTTAGCCAGTATAGAAAAGTTTACATTCCGTTTGGTAACGCTTGTTTTCGTACAGCAGTTATGGTAACAATGGGGTATAGATTTTGTTCAACATTTAAACATTTTTTGAGTTTTTCTATCTAGACAAAGGATACGGATGACGGAAGGGACTCAAACAAATGTTTTGCTTCACAACTGTGATTATCAAAAGGAAATCACTGAGCACACTTTCCCCAGTTGCCTCAAAAATGCAAATATTCTTGCCTTTTACAAGGAAAAGATAATGCAAGGGCTGAAAACTGTAGTCCCTTCAGTCACTTCAGCAAAAATAGTCATTCAAGTTTTCAAGTCTTCGCTGAGCAAAATTTAAAAAAAAAAATTTATTGTTTGAAAGAAAAATATTGTCCTTTAATTTTTTTGCAAGATGCAGTTATTTTCAAAGCAACAGTTCGGTTTCTATTCAAAGCGCTCATGCGCTCATGCAGTAACAGAGAAACAGAATTTACACATTTAGCGATTAAAAAAACCAGATGGGGATACGGTCTCCATTAAACTTCAAAAATGCGTTAGATACTCTAAAACATCAAACTCTTTTGAAGAAGTTGGAATAATATAGTTACAGAGAACCAATTTTCGAATCATTGAGCAGCTAGTCAAATAATCGGTATCATTACAGTAAAGTACAAAAAAAATTTTTTCTGTGATAACCTAATTCCACGGGGATGAATATTAAGATCTTTTCTGTTTTTAAATCATAAACAATCTTTCAAATCAATGTCAAACAAGCGAGGTAACCTTCTTTACTGATGATTCAATTGCTGTAAGCCTAGTAAAATTTCTTCTCAGAATACAAAATTGTATTAGAAGTCAGCTAAAGATTGCTTTAAAGCTAATACACCATTTCAAAGCCTATTGAAATGTTAGTGACACTTTTTGAACAAACCGTATTTTCAATTGAAAGTCAAGAAATAATGCATGATCAAATGGGTGTTCATAAGTTCTTTTGAAATCGCGAAGTTCCAATTGAATCACGCTCAAAATGGCCTATTAAAAAAAATTCATGAATCGACAAACGATGTTTAATCGAATCGCATTCGCGTGGAGAAGATTATATAGCTTTGGCCGACTGTTTGGGAATAAATCAGAACACTGCGTATACAATTGTGCGACGTGGGAGATATAAAAATTTACCAAAAGGTGGACCATACCATCGAAAAATTGACAAAGAAATTATTTTGGGCGCTATTGACATTCTGGAGGGCAATCTACTGATGACATTGCAGCAAGTGAATTTTGCTTTGAGAGCGCGCTGCCCCAAAAACCCCATTTTACGCAACAAGCATTATCAAAAGCAATAGAAGAGAGAATGATCACTTTCAAGATCAGGAGAGATTGTCCTGCAGAGCGTAACAGCGAAGAAGCTATAAAAGATCAGTACAACTATGCATTGTGGATCATGAGCCCTGACGTCATAAGTTCGCGAAAAAATTCTGTGGATGAATTTGGTGTAATTATTCACATGCGGCGTACTCAAGGGCGATCTGCTAAGGGTGACAGAGTTTATAGAAAGGTCAGTGCCCACAAAGTACCCAATGTTACAATCTGTTGCGCAGTTTCCACGGAAGGCCTTTTGCATTATCAGGTAATTCAAGTTTGAATGAAGAAAGAAATTTTAAAAAATTTTCTCGAAGTTCTATGTGGAAACATAATCCTTGACGAAGGGAACAATGCTGATGGATTTCGCATTTTGACAATGCTCCCGGGCACAGAGGAATCGAAGATATGGACCTTAGTGGAATATTCCTTCTGAAGAGGCTCCCAAAGTACAGCCCATTTCTAACTTTGGTTGAACTGCAATTTCGTGCTGGAAAGCGGCTATGAAACGAAAAATGCAAGAAGAGATGGATTTGTTCATCAACGCGGATGCCTTGAAGGAGCCAGGACGCACACTTCAGGATTACCGTTTCCGTCATGTCAAATCTATTGTGGAATGAACAAGTTGTGAGATTACCCCACAGAGATGTGTTGGTTGGTACAATCATACGATGACATATATCCCGGATTGTTTTACCTGGAATAAAATAGATGGATGAACAATGGATGTTGCATAAAAACCGTTGATTCTGTCTACTAAATTCTTTTCTTATTCATTTGAAATAACATGTTTTCAATTGAAGTCACCAGTGAGCACTCCATCGTTTTTCTATTCTTTAGAACTTACGAAATAAATGATCTTTCATTAGAAGCTACCTATAATTCTTTTCAAATTACCGATTGTTCAACAGGCTTTGAAAAGGTGTGATTTAGCAATTAATTCATCGAAATATGAAGCAATGACATTGCGAAAGTTACAGCCATTGGAAGTATCTATCTGTCATAAACTAAAACTTTTAAAAAACAATCGAGTCTTTAAGTGTTCAAGTTGATAGCAAACTTTGTTTGTTGATCACATGAATCACGTTGAGGAGAAATTATATTTTTTCTGTGGTGCCGTCCAAAAAATACTAAATAATTACCTACAAAATTTTTCTTTTTCTCTACAATTCTCGATCTCCAGCCATGTTTTATGGTTTTACATGCTTCGCTCAGCTAAAAAAATTAAACAGACACAGCGAGGAATAAAACTAGCAAATTTTGGACGCAAAAATCTGATTCAATCAGCAACAAAGTGAAAGATAGCAAAAAAAGTGTTGGAAAAGTGTCAATGAACGTAAGGAAACAAAAATTATTTGACTTTTTTTTGAAACCATTGCAACGTTTAAACTTCAGAAAAGTAAAGGGTCTTATTGCTCTTTGTTTTCTAGAGCAATTTTTGATTAAAATTTTTGTATTGTAATTGCGCTAATTTGAAAAAAACTGGATCAGTTGGTTAATTTTCATTCCGCTGAGAAAACTAAAAATTGAATTCCACCTTTCAAAGTAAAAAATCTTTCATGTTTTTTCTCGCCAAAATTATGCTTGTATTTGGAGAGTGAAATTTACGTAACTTTCAGCAGAAGAAGTTAAATAAACTTTAAAAATGAATATATGAATGCATTCATAAAAGCAATATTGCTTTTGAATGCACCTTTGTAGTTGATACATAGTTTTACATAGTTTTAATTACCAAGAAAAATTACCAAGATCTGTACAAGAGTCTTCACAAGGTTCATCTACTTTCAGAAACTTAGATATTAGCACTGTTCACGAAGTATTTGTGGTTGAAGTACTAATAAACTTTTTAAATGTCTTTGTAATTCTTCCTTTCATGCTTGTTTGATCGAAAACGAACTAAAATGAATCACCTCATCGATATCATAAGTCTTAAGAAAAAAGATTTACATTCCCTTCGTTGAATCAAACCACTGACCTAAGAAGGATCAATAGAGACTCTAGTAAACAAACCATATAATTGGGCAAACTGTTCGATCACCAGCAAAAATGGATAGGTTCAATCCACTGAAAATAGATCAGCATGTAAAGATGATTGAAAAACGCTTAAGGAGAGACAATAAAAATTTAAGGACCTTTTTTTCTTCTAAATGTTTTCGTAAACTATGCTTCCTTTCAAATCATTCCTTACAAAGGTTCAAACTAGAAAAGCTTGTGGGCTAATTTTGAGACATTGACGAAAAAGATAATTAACGTGTATTTAACAGTACGTTTTAACATGTACGTTTTTGATTAATCGACTAATTTCAAATTCTGAGGATTTGTGAGTTCACTTACTGATTTTATGGACTGAGTCGAGGCAGATGGAGGTGAAGTTTCGACCAGCTGATTTTTGCAGAAATGACTCCGATCCACAGGACATCTGGACAACTGCGGATGCCAGAGCAGCTGAGACGAATACACAACTCATCAAGTATAGCACAAAACCCACAAACACACATATGCAGATCATCTGAAACACGTTGCAGGAGGGACTGACTTCAGCTGATACGATTTTGCTGTGGGTTCACGAACATGACAATTAACCGGTGATCGGGCGTAAAGATTTTAAAGGGAAATAATTCGTGGTTAATTTGAGCTAATTTTTACGTAAAGTGCCCGCATCAAAAGGAGCGTGACCATCTGTTCTAAAAATCCAGCTTCCAAAAATAACCTACCAAATTTTGTACAAAAATTTAATAAAAAAAAGAAAAATTCGTAGACTCACAACGAAAAGAGAAAAAAGCCCAAGACATCTACAGCAACAGCTTCTGCAGCACTTTTCCTTATTGGCTCCTGAACACATAGAAGAACAGCCAATCAGGGCCAAGTAAATGAGCCCCAGACACGAAAATCCGGCTATGAAGACTTTAGAGCTGTCGTCATTTGTGAAGCTAAAAAAGAAGAACACTATAAAAATATTTTTGCTGATAAAATTCATGAACAAAAAACATAAGAACTCTAAACTTGAGATATCATAAAAAAAATAAAATTACAAAACTATTAACGAACTTAATATAAATCATATCTTCTAAAATCTTACGACTTCTCATGATGTTTATGGAGGACAGAGGTATATTTTGTGAAAATTAATTAGCGTAATTAAGGATTAATAAATTAATAGTAACTAATTAATTTTCTAATAATCATAGCTTCATTACTGACTCAGTTCACTGTTATTTGATCTCCAACCTTAACTCATAATGTCGAGTGATGACTTCTAAAAGTCTGATTGCACCGAAGCCCATCAGTCCAGCTCCACCCAGACCAAGAGTGAAGGCCAGAGTACTGAGCCAAGGGAAACGACCCAGACAACGACAACAACCGCCTTCTGCTTCGAAGAAAAACACATCGTTGGGTTGGCTAATAACTATTTGAACCAAAAGTTAGGCACCAAAACAGGTCAGAGTGAGTGAATTAGATATCATATTTAAACGAGCAATGCTTGTGTTAAGCGACCAGTTCACGTTTTTCGAACCTGGTTCGCAACTTTCTGAGTTCAATTTTGTGTTGGATATCAATATCTGAATACACCTATAGTATATTATAAAATTTACAGGCATGAACAACAATCACCTAAATATAACAAGGTTTTTTCTCCTGGCAGATTTCGACTGTTTAACCTGCCATTTTTGTCGAAACTTTTCTATCATCCAAAAGGTATGGTTGTCTTTAGCTCAAGCTTGAAAAGATATTTCAACTGTGATTTTTTTCACAAAGTTATGGGGGTTTAATGGTTGCCAATTTGTTCATTTTGGGACAATTAACGCGCGATAAATTGCGCGCTATTAACGCTTAAGTAAAGATTTAATCCCTCCATAAAGTTTTTTCATTTTGGACTGAGGCTTGCTTTTGATTTGGGTTATTTAATACTTTCCTATAAAACACATGAAAAGGTTTTCGCACTTAATTAACATAACGTATGTATATTTTGTTTTATTTTGAAAATTGCATCAAATTTTTTAAAGCGAACTTTTTCTCGTAGAGCTTGAAGGTCACACGGAACCCTCAGGGTTTTGCCCTGATACGAGCAGATTTTTTGTTATTCAAGTAGGTTTGAATAAATTAAAAATTTCCTCAAAGTATGACGCATCAGAGATTGGTTCAATTCTCTTTGAAACAAAAGATTTATCTCTCGCTAATTTGTTTTCGGCTTATTGTTCCGATTTTCGAAGATATGCAGAAAATATATGGTTGAGGTGGTTTTTTCTTAACATAAATTTGAGGGGGGGGGGGGTGTGAAATTTGCCAATTTGGGATGTGAAAATTGTCAAAACAATTCCGCACTGAATCTTCGCTTCAAATTGAATTGAGGTAAGGTAAAAAGTTGTAATAGTTTAGTACTTATTCAAAATTTCACACTTGATGTTTGATTTTGTTCAAAATTTATAAATTTTTTATAAAATTTTTACAAACATTTAATCAAAACCAATAACGGGGCAATTGGAATATTCAGGGTTTTGCCCTAAAATACAAGCAAACTTGTTTTCATTCAGTGTTTATTTTTGCTTCGGGCTTTTGTTGCTTTTTTCTGCGCAGTGAAGCGTTGCCCTGCCCCTGTGGGGGAAAACTCCAGTCGTGATTCAATTAAATCAAAAAATAAGAAAAATTTTTGTCGTTTTATATTAATTTTTTTTCGCAAAACAGCTTATTGATTGGGTCATTATGCACCACTTCTTCAGCTCCCGGCAATTCTTTTTGTTCCTACGACTTTTCCGCATCAATACTAGGATAAATTTTGGATGATTCGTTTTTGCGTAAAACCAGTCGCTACAAACAAACTTCGGGTGACGAATGAATGAGATTCCATGTTTAAAAAAGTTCAATTGAGATGCGGACTATAAATATAACTGCGCTGAAAAACTATCTTAAAGTCAAAAATGACCAAAAAATTTATGTTTGATCGCAAAGGCCAATTAGTGTCTCAAGATCAACTTTGTTTGATTGTTCTTGGTGAATTAATTTTCAAATTTTGAGGAATTTCAATATGATATGCACAAGTAATGGAAAAACGAAAAAGAAATAATTGATTTTTTAACTCTTTAATATTTTTTGAGTTGCAATATAGGCTTTTGCTTATCTGGTATGAAACACATGTAAAACGTTTGATTTAAGTACCTACAGTTGAAAAAATTTTCATGATCTTACGTCCAAATTGTTTTTGTGGATTGTCCTAAGAAGTTATTCACTAGTGTTTCAGTTTCATTTTTTAAAAAACAAGCATAATTTTTAAAAAGTGGCCAATTGACATTTAGAAAAGAGTAATTAACGCAATTAAGCAGAAAAAAACACGGAATTTGCTAAAAAAATTCTCAACTTTCGAATTTCAAAGATAAAATAGTTGCCCTTTAAGCTCTTTGAATTTCTAAAAAAAGTTTATGATTGGCGCTTTTTTGAAAATATTAACCCAATTTGAGAAAACTGGATCAATAGATAAAGTATTTATTCCGCTGTGAATCTAAAATCAAATTCCATTTTCGAAAGTAGAAATTTGCACATTTGTATTTGGAGAGTGCTATTTACGTCACTTTCAGCAGATGAATTTCAATTCAACTCAAAAAGCCTATATATAAGTGCGTTCATAAAGCATAATTATTTATATATGCACATCTGTAGTTTCTAAGCCTTTTCCTGAAACAAAAACCAAAAAAAAAAATCACCAAGACCTGTATAAGAGTCTTCTCTACGTTCATTACTCTTAAACACTAGTGCAATATTTTAATATTTAAATATGCCACGGAATTGTACTGAACACGTATGTGTTTTGTCATAACATAATGGTTGGTTTAATGCAGTGTCAAACAGTTATTAATGCACACTATTCTAATTAGGCCGAATATAAGCGCTTTCATATGCAACAAGCAGCAAAGCGCAGAAGGGTTCGCTAATTGTTGCCTAACTTTGGCTGTATATTTTCACTTTTTAACAACTGTTATTTCATGAGGTTGTTTTTGTATCTGCACATTTTCAATACATAACAATTCAATTATTATTATTAATTATTATAACTGCGAACTCACTTTTTTCTAGGTAGACCATGGCAGGTTGCATTTGGGATGGATGCACAGAGGAAGCGGCGGCTGCTCCTGTTCGTTCTCTCATTTCACTCATGTATGGCGGAGGTGCAGAAGCGTGCGTTCCATGGTTTAACCCACGGCGCATCTCCGGATTAGTTATTTTAACTAAGTGTGATTACCAATTTAAATTAAAACTGAAGGTATTCTCTTGAATATCAGTTTTCACCGAAACAAATATCAGCTTAAGCTTATATGAGACACTCAGGAAGTTAATTTAGGGAAGCATCTTTGTTAACAACTTGGGATAGATTTCTATCACAGGAAGCTCTATCTAGGTGAAATTGAATCAAGAAAAATAACCATTTTTTAAGATTCGTTTTTTGTCAACTCCGTTCTCCTGATAATTTTCCTGTTGTTGCGCTGATTGCTAACGACAACGTGAACTACCTTTGTTTTCATCACAGACAGTTTCAGTTTTAAGGCTTAACGGGAAATAGACGCCCCGGGAAAACTACCGCCTGTTACTAAAAGTGGAAACTGACTTCATACAGAATGCCTTCATACGCTGTAAACAACGCACAGGAAATGCCTTCATACGCTACGAAGCAATCTTTTCAAAACATGGTACGTTTTTGAAAATACACAAAACAGGATATAAAATACGTGACTCCTTTTTTGGGGACCACAGTACGAGAGGTCTTCTATTTTTCGGGTTTAAGTCACGGCAGTCCAAAAAATTTAACGATTTTAGCTCTTTGAAAAATGAATATATATGTTTCAATCTTATTGATCTTAAAACCTTGAAACAATCAGGAGAAATGTGTAAATCAACTCAAGCAAGCTGAAACAACGGTTTTTTCTTCTGAACGTTTTCCAACTTTTGATGTTCAAAGAAACAAATATCAACTTCAGTTCTTTTAATTTCAAATATCTTTTTACGCTTGCGATTAACAAACTTTGTCAAATCAGAATAAAATTTTTGGGTTAAAAACTTGCCTACAAATAATAATTGAGGCTTCGGCGGTTCGCAGAGGATTTATGAAAAGCTAGAATGCCTGTCTAAGCATGATCCGTTTCTGTTAATTCTCCCACACTTATGATCGAGTTTTTTTGTTAAACGATGCATATTTGCAACTCAAGGCCATTTTTTGCTTCTAGAATTTTCATGTGGTACCACTTTTGCAGCCAAAAGTGGGCAGGTTACTGTAGACCTGAGCTCGTCCTCGCACACTATCAATGCCATAACAGAAGATCGCATACACAATCTGATTATCTCAAAGTGAACGCCTCAACAACATGCCACGAGGCTCTGCTGCGCAACATAATCATTGAATCTTCTGATAGCTTGAAATAAAATAAATTGAGATTTCTATATCCTGATTTTTGAATACTTATGTTTTTTATCAGTAATTGAAACTTAAAGTGAAATTGAAATAAAGGAGAGCCGGTTGTTGTGCAAGTTTTATTCATTTTTGAAAACTTTCTTTGTGAGTGGTGTGATGAACTGATTTGAACGAAAACCTACAGCTAGACAGATACAGTGAAATGGGCTCATTGGACAACCGTTTTCTTTTAAAAAAATTAGAACTCAGCTTCAGGGATCAATAAGTTTTCAAGGCTTATCTTTCTTTTATATTGATAAGCATATTTAGCATTGCTGTAAAAAATTGCGAAGCCAAAATCCAGATTTCAGAGTTTTTTTTGGTCATTTTTAATCGCATGATTATTTTTTGCTGCATCTTATACTTGGTAACATATCTCTATACTTTCTATACTTTAAGTTAATAAAAAAAAGAAGCCACGGTTTTTTTCGAGTGAAATTTTCAACTAAAAAATTTCTAGCCAAATATATACGTTTAAGATTTCTATTAATAGCTCTGGGTAAATTATGAAAAATAACCTCGAACAATTTTTACTCAAATGTTGAGTATCTGTGAGATTCCTTCCCCTCAACCCATGAAGCTTGTTAAGTGAGAAAAACCCTTGCTCATTGTGTTTTCAGAGAAAATGTAAAATAATTTAGCAAAAATTAGAAAAAAAAATCCTGTCATGTAATTTTCATAAATGAAAAAATACTTGCCGCAGAATTTCATTATACAATATTCCATAAATTTTTGTAGGTATGGAATGATACGAAATTGTATGAAAAGCATTTTCCATAGATGAAAATTGTATGACAAGCATTTTTGGTCAGGCTGGGCAGATAATTCCGATGGTTAACTGTGGTACCCCAAACTAGGTTGTAAAATTTTTTTGAAAAAGAAAAAATGTTGGTCGCATTGACTTAATTGATTAGAAATTTGATTTTGTTCCGACAATTGACAATGGGAAGGAATTTCTGTCTTTCCTTGTGTTTTAATCTATTTTTTTTTGCTTTTCACGCTAAATCAAGGAGAAAAAAAGCTCCTCCTCATTGTCAATTGTCGAAATAAAAAAAAATGCTAATCAATAAAGTCAATGCGACCAAGGTTTTCGCTTTTTCTTTATAAACCTAACAACCTGGCTTAGGGAAACTCTTTTTCAATCAATCCTTAATATTCTATAAAATGACTGCTGTTTTTCTCAATCTCAATTGTACTATCAAAAACATAATTACATTTAAAACCACAAACATGAGTATCCAATATTATTTAGACAGCCAACAAAAAGTTAATAAGGTTAAGAAAAAAATACGGATTACATAGTTTTTCAAATCAAGTTTCGATTTTTTTAAAAAACAATTATGTTTCAAGAGTTTTATCAAATTGACAACTTTTTGATCAAGCAAAACCGAGAAAAAAGAATCAGACTTTTTTTTGTTAAAATTTTCAATTTTTGAAACTCTTTGGAATTTGTAGAACAATTTATGGTGGACCCTTTTTTGTTAAAACTAACCCAATTTGAGAAAATTGGATCAAAAGGTGAAACTTTTATTTCACTGAGAAATCTGATAATTAATTTCCATCTTCGAAATTAGAAGTCGATCACGTTTTTCGTGACCTTTACAATTTTGCTGAAAACAAAAACGAAAAAAAAAATCAGCGAGACCTATATAAGAGTACTTACTACGTTAATTACTCTTACAAAAAAATCAAACAGCCTTAATTAGTGAAAATGCGCTTCATTCATTAATATCTGGAAAAATTATAACAATATAACAGTATAGATTTGAGTCATATTTCATAGAAATTTGACAATAGTTCATTTTGGAAGTAGAGAACACAAGCCATCATGGCCGTGACCATGAAACACGCAGTCAGGTCCACTAGTAAGTTGTTGAAAGAAAGTCTGTCTGAAATAGACTCTCATTTCCTTCCCCTTGTAACTAACATTACATCAATGGCGTTTTTGTTTAGCCAGATAAATAATCGTTTAAAGGAAAACAATCTATGATTTTTTTCGGATTCTAGGATAAGTTCAACGCGGGTCGAGGTGCTCACTTAATGTTTCGACTTTAAAAATCGAGCCAAATGTCATTTCTAGACCAAAAAATAATAGTCAAGACAGGGGTTTGGGTCAAGCACAAACTCAAAACATGACTCGAACACGGTCGAAACATATATTGCTTTTGGTCGGATATGATCAAAACATAGCAGAAGCACATTCGAAACATATATGAAATGGGTCGACCAAAGTCGAGTTCAATTTTTTGGTCGAGAAAGTCAAAACATAAAGTCAATTGGTCGAGATGGTCAATGCATACAAATTTTTGGTTTAGAAGGTCGAAACATAAAGAGAGAATCTCGACACGGTAAAGGAAAAGCACCAAATGGAAACCATCCCTCCTAAATTCGTCCCAGCGTAACATGATAGTACTTGAAGCGAAATGTGCTTTTCTAAGCGTTTGCTTGAGGGCTGGAAAAGAGAGCTTTTCTGCCTGTGATGACTTTGTCGCTCTTGGCCATGTTTGACACATGCAGCTCCATGGCGTCGTAGATCATGCTGTCATTGTCGAACAGAAAAATAACCCACACGAAGTCCGTCAACTCGAGCTGTAACAGTTCAACAAGTTCAGAAAACCTTTTCTTCCTTTCGGAACAGACTACATACTGTAGAAAGTCACTTCATATGATCCGATTTTCTTGCACGGCATTATTTTTTTGCCGTTAAGTATCACTTCAATTGCAAAACCTCATTTTTGAGGACAATTTTAAACCTTGTAAATAAATCAGAGAAAGATGTCGAAAAAGAACACTGAATTTCCTGCAATTTGATATATAACAAGACTGCTCGTATCGGGGCGAAGCCCTGAATGTTCCGACTGTCCATTAAGGTTTATGGAGCAGTAATATCATTAAAAAATTAAAAGTAATAAAACAAAATGAATTTTTTTTTTCAAAAATTTGAAATTTTTTAAAATAAAAATCATCCCCCCACACGCCATATAAAGTAGAAAAGGATAGATTTCGCTACTTGTAACAAATCAATTATGGCAAAAAAGCTTCGTTTAACCAATTTGGAACGATTTCTAAGACGGATTAACTCTCCGCTTACGCGTTAATAGCGCGAAATATAGCGAGTTTATTGTCCCAAATTGGCCAAAATGCTCTTTAACTTTACGAAAAGTGATCACAGGTGAAATATCTTTTCGAATTTAAGCTCAGGACAACAATACCTTTTAAATGATATAAAAAATTTTTGTCTAAAATGGCTAGTTAAAAAGTCGAAATTTGTCTGAAGAAAAAAAAACCCACCCCGAGCACAAATATTCCGTTGCTTTCGTATCGAAAGTCGGAACAACAAGACCGCTCGTATCAGGGCTAAGCCCTGAATGTCCCGACTGCCTTTTAAGGTTTATGGAGCAGTAATAACATAAATATCATTAACAAATTAAATGTAAAAAATTGAATTAAAAAAAATTCTAAATTTGGAAATTTTTTCGATGAAAATCATCCCCCCACACGCCATATAAAGTACAAAAGAGTAGATTTTGCTCCTTGTAACAAATCAATTATGACAAATAAGCTTCTTTCAATCAATTTGGAACGAGTTCTAAGACGGATTAAATCTCCGCTTACGGATTAATAGCGCGAAATATAGCGCGTTTATTGTCCCAAATTGGCCAAAATGCTCTTTAACTTTACGAAAAGTGATCACAGGTGAATTATCTTTTCGAATTTAAGCTCAGGACAACAATACCTTTTAAATGATATAAAAAAAACTCTGTCAAAAATGGCTAGTTAAAAAGTCGAAATTTGTCTGAAGAAAAAAAAACCCACCCCGAGCACAAATATTCCGTTACTTTTGTATCAAAAGTCGGAACAATTTCTTTCGTATCGAAAATCGGAACAATAACAACTGTTAGTCAAAGTTAACAGAAATTGAATGATTTAGAAATTGAACAATTTTTGGACAAAAGACATTAATTAACATTACGCCAAAAGATTAATTTATGAGAACTTAAATGATTTCCATGATAGTTTTCCGTACGACACTTGGCTTGGGTCTTTCTTA